TTTTTACATTTTTCTTCTGTGTTATGAGTCGTTGACACAGACAAGACTGAAACACAATTAGATTTCAAACTCCTAACGAAGGCGAATGGTTAGGAGCTCAATTTATAATTCTGCGACAGCTGTTATGTGACCAATTGGGATTATCGCTATGATACAACCTTTGGGGAAAGCTCTCAGTGCTAGGTAGTGACTCGTCTTTACCCCTAGCTTTGCTGAATCCATAAGTGAAGGTCACTTTAAGGTGGGCCATAGGTTCGTCTGATGAAAATAAATAAAACTTCGAATTTAGGTCTTAATGTAAGTAACGGTGCTTATGTTCTGTTGTCCATGATTTCCGGTAATCATGTGGCGGTAGCCATCACAGAACACACAAGATATTTGACAGATGCCTGAATCTCGCTTACGACATTTTCAAGATAAGGTTGCATATATACAATTACCGAACAATAACATTCGGACCGTCGGTCTACCGAGCAAATATCATCCGCTCGGTGGAAGATCTTCCCTTTGTCGTATAACTACAATCATAAGCTGGCCATATTGGCCGTGAACCCATCCAATAATCTAACGCGGTTCATGAATATGGCAAAACATTTCTCCAAAATGATACAAATTATAATATATAGGAACGAACGGTGCGGTGCGATAAACTAGGTAGTGATGCGGAGGCCCCATAGTTTTGTAAGCGTGATCATTGTTCCAAAAAGAAAAGAAAAAACAATGAATCATCGTGACGTCACAATTATGTTCCGGTGTTACAAAAATCAAAGAGTTTTATAACAAGTAGAGGTTGCCCAAACTACATAATTAAATTTACTACAAGAGCTGGAGGACATCAAAAAATTGTTTTTTCAAAAACCAAATACTTTTCGGGAATTCCCCCAATAATAGTCAAAGATAGCTTCACTTTTAAATGTTGTCACGTGAATGGAATGTTACAAGACTAAAAATAAATTATACCAAATATTGATTATATGTTTTGACGAAGAATCTTAATAACCAAACGATTACATCCAAAACTATGTTCCGATTAAAAAATGCGTCGCGGGCCCAGTGCAGTTTGCGGGCCACCTTGGTACATGAATTATAAATCTCAGTTTTATAGTACAACGGCTGCCCCATCCTATACCAAAATTCTTCATGACAGTTCCGTGCGGGCTTATAAGACGCCCTACAATCGTTCATCAAATTATAAAAGATATTAATACGTGAAGCAAAAACTTTGTACCTATCCCTTTTTAAGAAAATTGCGCGAACGGAGGAGTATGAAATTTTCCACACTTATAGAGAATATAGAGAAGAAGTGCACAATGTTAATATTTTTTTAAAATAATGCATAAAAGATACATTAAATCAATAAAGAAAACATTACACACACTACATACCATGTAGGTATTTGACGCACACACGCATGCATATTATTTATTGTCAAACTTTTGTTCTTGACGTCTGTTGTCAAATTGAGAATAGAATATGGTTTGTCTTTGTTAATATTTCTTATAGTGTAGTCTTGGCGAGATTCGTGAATATAGAAGTATAAAATACAATCAAAATAGTGTACAAACTTTCAATTCCAATTAATTATAGTCGAATTTCGACTACTGCGGGACCTCTAGTAAAAGATAAAAGAGTGAACCACACAATTCATAGAGCCGTTGATTACCGACACGTCATTACATTAATGATGATAGTCCGCGTACAGTAATGTTTTATCACGGTATTTTGCATTGCACACAATTCAGGGTCAGCGTGCAGGTGACGTCATCTCAAGGGAGCACGGGGCGAGCCTGTCAGTTGACATCGGACCACATCTGATTGTTGTACATTCGTCCGCGACCACGAAAACTGTGCAGTAATCGAAAACTCGTAAACAATATAATGTCAATAAAAAAGCCGTAAAAGCAGTTTGAACTAAATTGTTTCTAAGCGTATTATGTATATTTGGTTTATGCAGTCCAATTAAAAATGGCTTCACTTTTAATACGTTTATTGGTTGAATAATAAAAGTAACCCATAGACACAGCATATTGAATTTCTCGCCGGATCTTTTCAGTGGGTTGCGATTCCGCTCTCGCTAGGGCGTTCTCTCAAGTTAAGCCCGTGGGCTCACCTACCCGTCCGGGCGTAGCTGAAATAGCCTCTTACGCTACCAGTGAATAGGTGGGTTAAACAAACAAACAAATGTAAGCCGATTGTAGAATGTGGGTGTCCGTGGTTTCTACGTATCTCAGATAATAATTTACATTTATCTAAGAATACGACTTTATTGTTTAATGAATTTTAAATATTCGTTTGAAAAAAAAATCAAGAAACATTTTCTATCGTAAACCTTGAACTCCGGGCGGAAGTAGGTTGATCGTATCTATCGGTACGGGCGTATAGATGGGATAAACTCAGTGTACAAGAAACTCAACATCGTTGGAACCTCTGGGTCTACAGAGGGACTCCAGTTCTCTCTGTATTTTGTACCATATGTTCTACGGGAAGTGCTCTGTAAATTGTTTGAGATGATCCCACAATCTCGTTTTTACCATCGCACCGCCCACCATCTGAGCACGTTCATTTATGTATACCTAGAACCTAGAACCTAGAATCTAGAACCACTACATTCATCTATAGTGCGTTATCCGAGATCTTCTCTGTCACGCATCATTCAGCTTTGGTTTACGGAGATTACTTAACGGTAGAAGTCGTCGTGGCCTTAAGGATAAGACGTCCGGTGCATTCGTTGTTGCGATGCACCGGTGTTCGAATCCCGCGGTCGGGGTACCAATTTTTCGAATGAAATATGTACTTAACAAATGTTCACGATTGACTTCCACGGTGAAGGAATAACATCGTGTAATAAAAATCAAACCCGCAAAATTATAATTTGCGTAACCACTGGTGGAAGGACCTATTGTGAGTCCGCACGGGTAGGTACCACCGCCCTGCCTATTTCTGCCGTGAAGCAGTAATGCGTTTCGGTTTGAGGGGTGGGGTAGCCGTTGTAACTATACTGAGACCTTAGAACTGATATCTCAAGGTGGGTGGCGCATTTACGTTGTAGATGTCTATGGGCTCCAGTAACCACTTAACACCAGGTGGGCTGTGAGCTCGTCCACCCATCTAAGCAATAAAAAAAAAAAAAAGACTTCAACTTACCTCTGCCCCTGGCATTGTTGATGTCCGTGAGCGACGGTAACCACCCACCATCAGGTGGTAAGATCGTCAACAAGGCTAATAAAAAAATAAACCTCCAATAATTTGGTTGCCTCCTGCGCAACAACTAAAAGAATCAGTAAACTGGAATATGTTTATATTTTCTGTTCCATAATACGCTTTTAAAATGACTAGAGGTCCCGCAGTAGTCGAAATTCGACTATAATTAATTGGAATTGTAAGTTTGTACACTATTATGATTGTATTTTATACTTCTATAACCACAAATTTCGTCACGACTACATTATAAAAAATATTAACAAAGGCAAACAATATTTAATCTATTTTCAATTTGACAACAGACGTCAAGAACAAAAGTTTGACAATGAATAGTATGCGTCAAATACATGGTATGTAGTGTGTGTAATGTTTTCTTTATTGATTTAATGTATCTTTTATGCATTATTTAAAAAAAAAAATGCATTGTGCACTTCTTCTCTATATTCTCTATAAGTGTGGAAAATTTCATACTCCTCCGTCAGCGCAATTTTCGTAAAAAGGGATACAAAGTTTTTGCTTCACGTATTAATATATAGATTCTCTCTTCATTTATCTTCTGTGTTTCAAATGTATATCTACCCTATTTCCTCGGTGGTAATTTGACTTTCAAATTAGGCATTGTAGCGCATTTCGTGTAGGGCATGAAATTGCCTTTTTATTGCCATTGTAGGCGGTCTTATAGTATACGTTCTGGTAAATGATCACCGTCAATCATGAGCATCGGCGATTCTAGAGACACAGCCAAGCCGCTGTCTATCTACCAGTGGGTTCGCGATGCTTGAAAGGGCTCGACGAGTAAATTAACCCTCAGACACAGCCCACTGAGTTTCTCGCCGGATCTTCTCAGTGGGTCGCGTTTCAGATCCGGTGGTAGATTCTGCGAAGTACGGCTCTTGCTAGGGTTAGCAACGCCGTCAGGTTTGAGCACCGTGAGCTCACCTACTATTTAAGATTACGCGGAAATAGCCTCTCAAGGCTATCAGCTTAGATAGGAAAAAAAAGATGCTTGAACTGAAAGACTTAAAAAAATACCTTCAATTCTACAATCAATTCAATTCGACAATTAAAACTGCTGCCACCACGGCTTAATCTAGTGATTGATTATATTTTCTAGGATATTTCGGATAGTCCATAGAAAAAAGGAAAACTGTGTAAGCATTCGAAAAATTCAGAATTCATTTAATATGCTTGATAAAAACCGAAAATGAACACGCAAGTGTTGTAGTTTTAATTGTGTTTACGACTAACGAAAACTAAAGACAATTTAATCAAAATAATAATGTTATATTCCTGAAAAATGTAAATACATTATAACTGAAAAAAAAACACATCAAACAGTCTCGTATTGACGCTACGAACGCTTACATGAAAGCCTAGAAATATTAATTAGCGAGGAGCAATAAATTAAAAATTCTCTTTCGTCAATCGTTTCACCTTTAAGTATAACGGCTTCATTAAATATTGACGCGGGTACGGAAATATGACGTAAATACACAATTTATAATACTGCATGGTTACACACAATGATCCATTTAGCTTTTCGTTTTACATGATTGCAGAAGTTATCGCTGTTAACGGGAAATTAATTGCTTTTATCTATTCAATATCCATGCGACAGCATTGCACATACACTTATATGTATTATTCTATATATATTAGATTACATAAAGCCTACACTTATATACCTATACATATAAATATCCTCGTTGAATATAAAAATAGACGGAATCCAATTTGTCTTTAAGTATTTACGAGTGAGTATTAATACTTATTTGAAGTTTAAAAAAGTATGTACTCACCCGAATCGACGGAGCTGATGTTTTGTAACCAATTAAGTCTTCAAAATCCTTTAAACGCGTGCATAATTTTTTTAGGTTTTTAAATAATAAAAAATCCTGCTAATATTTACTGTATTAGTAACGGATCCGTTCGTTTTTCACGATAGCACTGCCGCTCTGAGGGAAACGTCAGTTTTCAGTTTTGTCGCATTTATTTTGAGCATGCGCGTCGCAAGATGGCCGTCGACCGGTCGATAGCGGCCTCCTGATAATGCTATCACGAAGGCTGCGCCACCATGCCGGTATTGTGGCAACGGGGTAATGTATAAAAACGAGGTCATCACATTTGTATCGATGCGTACTTCCTTGCCGCTGGGATGCCAGTCGAAAAAATAATTTGAAATTTACGACATTGCATATAATCTGTGGCGTGTTTCGCGCCAAAAAGTTACCGATGCTCTATATTTGCTGAAGTTTCTCTGATTTGATTTTTCCTCAGTTTTATCTGTTGTTTATGAAGTGAGAATTACTTTAGGAACATTGTGATTTGAAATCCGATGAAACGGAAATGACTCTTGGAAACTCGAAAAACGTACAGCCTTGACCCAGTCGGTTTATGTTGAACATTAAGCAAGGAAATTAGAATGTCAAAAAACATTCTAAACCGTTTTCCTTTTGATAAATCTATAAAATTTAAATGAAAGAACAATTTGGGTTCAGTTGTTCGTTTTGTTTCCTTTCCCTTTTTTCACTAATCGTAGAAGACGACTTACCAGTAAGATACGTGAACATTATTAATCATAGGCAGAGGCATAGCCCAGAAATTGCCTATAAAATGCAATTGTCAAATTTCCCGCTAACTTATAGTATAAGGTTAGCCTATGGAACTAATTGCCAAATTTGTTACATTTAAGTAGAATGAACATTGTTATCGACTCAAGAAATTCCTCAGTCTTTATATTTAAAGTCTCTTAATAAACGGATTATATATTAGGCATGTCGCGTGTGTCCATTGTGTAATTGATACGCATTGCTCTTATATATTTTTTTCCATACACTCTTTGAGCACCAATAGTAATGACTTTATCATGATACTCTGTACACACGCTTCCTGGATGACTGGCAAATAATGACTTGGCATTAATTTCGCTAATGTACTTACTTTGACCGATTCGATGGCGCAGCAGTTAGTTCCTCCTCGTTGTGCGAGCGTCGATTGATTCAATTCCGGGCAAACGTTATAGTGTTGAACAGGCTTAATGGATCTTTGTTGGATACGTACATACATAATCATCTATTTTATTCCTACCTATGCTGATAGCTTTGAGAGGCTATTTCAGGTTTGCCTTAACGTGTGGGTGAGCTCACGGGGCTCAAACTGGAAGTCTTGCGTGAAGTGCAAGCGACGGGTTCAGCGAGGATGGTGACCGGTGCTTGAGGTACCTAAAAGCACCGTTGACCCTTTGACTGCCATGTAAGTCACCGGTGCCCTACGCGGCGCACTGAAGTAATTGTGTCGATTTCTGTTATTAAGCCCCTGGATTGCCCAACTTAGCCTTATTTTGTTCCTTAATATATGTTTCAGTCTTTCAGGTCTCTTCAAAATAAATTCATTTTCAGTATCATCAGTTTCGTCTTTCCTGGGATCCACTAGATATACCGGCGCCTTCATCGGCGACATAATTACTTCAGTGCGCCGCGTAGGGCACTGGTGACCTACACGGCAGTCAACGTGTCAATGGATCGGGAGGATCCGTAATGACGTGCTTAGGGCGACGTCGACTGTTTACCATTCGGTCCACAGGATCGGGTATGTAATTTCCGGCGGCCACTACAAGAGGGTTTTCGTGTCGTGCCGCCTTCTCGAAATGGCGCAATGATGCCGACTGTAAAAACTTACTGACTGAGTCAAGCTCCAGGTCATCATGGAGATCCACATTCCTTAGGAACTATAGTGCTCCAACGGCTATCACGCAAAAACGAGATTGAATTACTTAAAGGGGCTTCAAGTTGCGGGCCGCGTGTGCGAGCACTACACTTGCATAGGTCATGACGGGGCGTATGCAAGTTTTAGTGTCACCTTATTACGAAGGGACACTTTACTTCGCTTTATAATTATCGAAGGTATTATATATGTAAGCGTATATATCAGTCTCAGGCTCCCATTTTCCATGATTCATAGTATGGGAACTTAGATCATATGCGGGTTGTCCTATTTATTTATATAGGCAGCGGCTTGGCTCTGCCCCTGGCATTGCTGAAGTCCATAGGCAACGGTAACCACTTACCATCAGGTGGGCCGTATGCTAGTCTACCTTCAAGAGCAAAAAAAAATTATTTTTATTCTTTTGTTTCTCATCGAAAATACGCTCTTGTACAATTGGCTATTCTGGTACGAGGTACGAGGGCTGCACTAAAAGTATCGGGAATGGAATATTTCCATTGTTCCTGTCATATTAAAATCTTTTTATTTGAAAACTCCTTGGTTTTAAAAATCGAATACCATTTATTTATTTTAAAAAAGATTCTCGGTCTTGTCACGAGGTTTTGTCAAACTTGTTTAGTCATTGAGAAAATGGAATTGACCCGAGAAAATTCAAGAGCGATGATTTATTATGACTTTCGAAGTGGTTTAACACAAAAACAGTGTGTTGACCGGATGATTTCTGCATTTGGTGATGAAGCCCCATCCAAAACCACAATTTATCGCTGGTTTGCTGAGTTTCAACGTGGACGTGTCAAGCTCAGTGATGATCCCCGTCAAGGTCGTCCAAAAACTGCAGTCACCCAAGANGTCTCCTGTCTTACTTACTCACTATACATCATAGATTATACACTTAATATATTTGAGAGCTATACAATACTATACATTTTTCAGCCATGTTTTTTTGGTTTTATTTGTGTATCAATAGTATGTTCAGTAGGTCTGAGAATCGGCTACTATCTATTTTTCATACCCCTAAGTGAAAAGGGTTGTCCACCGCAAACATTTATTTTTTATTTTAATTTTTTGGATATATTTTTTTTGTTTATAATGAGGTATTATGTGGTTAAATGAGGTTTTTTTTTCTACAGTAGAATTTCCCTAGAAATCTTATTTAAGGCAACACAACGTTTGCCGGGTCAGCTAGTAATATATAAGTATGTCTATAGAATCATGAAAACTGATATTTTTTAAACGCCCAAACAATGGCACAGGAGTCTATCGATATCGTAATTTGGGTTCTGCCATTCACCTTTAGACGTGCGCTCGGGTATGGCTGCTTAGAAATAGGCAGGGCGGTATTAACACTTAACACCATGTGGGCCGTGAACTCTTATAAATAATATCGCACATAAAGAGCTATAATTTCACTTATGAGATTCTTGTTAAAACTGAACTGAGTTTGAGAAAATCCATTTCTAATAGGCAGTTTTTTTTTGCTTAGATGGGTGGACGAGCTCACAGCCCACCTGGTGTTAAGTGGTTACCGGAGCCCATAGACATCTATAACGTAAATGCACCACCCACCTTGAGATATAAGTTCTAAGGTCTCAACTATAGTTACAACGGCTGCCCCACCCTTCAAGCCGAAACGCATTACTGCTTCACGGCAGGAATAGGCAGGGTGGCGGTACCTACCCGCGCGGACAATGCTTCTGAAAAATTACATAATTTGCATATAGCGATGTTATAGCACCGTATGTGCGATATGAAAATTACAGTGAAACACAGATGCTAGCTAAAATAGTTTATTTTAAAAGAACAGTTCAATCGTCCATATGGGCACTCAGATAGCGCACTTCAGGGTCATTCGCGATTTGACCTCTCAACCTTCTAACGATCATCATGCCGCCGTAACGTCGCCAAGCCACCACGGATCCGACCAACGCAAATACACAAAACAACACACCAACTATTATGCCAGACGTTTGCAGTGTTTTTGAGGCTCCTAAAAACAAACATGTTAACATAGAATTAGAACCATCAAAATTTTTTTTTATTGGCCTTGTAGGCAGACGATCATACGGCCCACCTGATGGAGAGTAGTTACCGTCGCCCATGGACTTCAGCAATGCCAGAGGCAGAGCCAAGCCGCTGCCTACCGCTTAATACTCTCCACAAGCTTCGTTTGAAGAAGGACATGTCATAGCGCTCGGGAAACACCGTGGAGGGGAGCTCATTCCATAGCCGGATGGTGCGTGGCAAAAAAGATATCTGGAAACGCACTGTGGCTCCAGGTAGTATGGATGAACTCTACTCCGGTGGCGGGCGGTGCGATGGTAAAAACGNGGCAGAGCCAAGCCGCTGCCTACCGCTTAATACTCTCCACAAGCTTCGTTTGAAGAAGGACATGTCATAGCGCTCGGGAAACACCGTGGAGGGGAGCTCATTCCATAGCCGGATGGTGCGTGGCAAAAAAGATATCTGGAAACGCACTGTGGCTCCAGGTAGTATGGATGAACTCTACTCCGGTGGCGGGCGGTGCGATAGTAAAAACGAGATGCCGGTATCATCTCGAACAATTCCTCAGAGCACTCCCCATGGAACATACGGTACAAAATACAGAGGGAACCGAAGTCCCTCCGCAGACCCAGAGGTTCCAAATTTAACTTATTTTATTTAAAGGATCTTATTTTCTTTAATAGTTTATTAAGTCATAAATGATTTCGTGGTCTTTACCAGACCGGAGGGACCTAGGGTTGAAAGCATAAGAAAATGAAATTCTTTAAATTAAAGTTAAGCTTAATGGCTTACTAGCCTATGCTCTGGAAACGCATATATTCTATGATGGTTTGCAGCGATTTGTAACTCTTGCAAAAAGCTATTTAAGCTACCATCAATGCGTTACAAATGTTTGGGTTCAACTTTTTTTTTTATTGCTTGGAGCTCACAGCCCACCTGGTGTTAAGTGGTTACTGGAGCCCATAGACATCTACAACGTAAATGCGCCACCCACCTTGAGATATAAGTTCTAAGATCTCAGTATAGTCACAACGGCTGCCCCGCCCTTCAAGCCGAAACGCATTACTGCTTCACGGCAGAAATAGGCAGGGTGGTGGTACCCACCCGCGTGGATTCACAAGAGGTCCTACCACCAGTAATTACGCAAATTATAATTTTGCGGGTTTCATTTTTATTACACGATGTTATTCCTTCACCGTGGAAGTCAATCGTGAACATTTGTTGAGTACATATTTCATTAGAAAAATTGGTACCCGCCTGAGATTCGAACACCGGTGCATCGCTCAACACGAATGCACCAGACGTCTTATCCGTTAGGCCACGACGACTTCGACTGTTAGTTTGTAAGAAAATTTAAATAAATAAATAAATACACCTAACCAAATCTTCTCTCTTATTATCAAGTAGTTATTCAACATAACTTAATTCAAGTAGTATTTCAACAGTAATTAATCAACCGGACTGCTAAAAATGGCTTAAGATCATCGTATTGTATGCGGCTAGCTTAATATTTAGCTTTAGTAGATTAGAGACATAAGAAAATAATAATATTCCTTGCTTGAAGACTCAAGTTTGGTTGATCCATCTAAGACATCCGCTTCGGTGTGTGTATGTAATTAATATGTATATATGTGTGTATGTGTATATTATGTATATATATTTCACTGGATTGATACATCGCGTGTAATTCGTTTCCAAATGATTCTTGTCCACCCGATGGTTGCCTGGAAGAGATCGCTCTTAGCGATAAGACCGCCAATTGTACTTTTTTGTATTTAATGTTTCGCATTGTTTTTTTTTTTGGTGTACAATAAATCTACTCTACTCTATGTTTTAATATAGCACGGGAACGTTTCACTATTTTGTTTTAGACTTGACGTACTGCCTTATACAGTGACGGATTTAGGCTTTATGTCACCCTGGGCCCAGCTTATTGCGCCGAGCTTAATGTTAGAATAATTTTTATTAATTTTTATCCAATAATTTTATTTGAAATTTAGAAATAATCCTATTTTTTTTTCTTTATGAAAAGTAATTTGAACTCCTTTTCAAGGGAACTCATTTTCTTACTTTTTTCGTCTTTGAAATTTTGGCTTTTCAAAAACTTTGCGGCTCCCCAAATCATGCCGTAAATCCACCACTGGCCTTATACCTCAAGATGGGCTTCAGCATACACTTTGTAACTAAAAATTAAGCCGATTAAACTGATAAGTGAAATGAAATTTTACCTTTCGATTTCTTCGCAACAAAAACGTCCACCGTCATCTTCTTGGTAAAAGACTGTTTTTCAGTAACCTTTTTGCTGGTACTCGCAGGTTTTACTGTAGTGCTGGACCTTAATTTATTACTCCCAACTGTGGTCGAAGCGACAGACGTCGCCTTACGAGTTGCACTTTTAGGTGTGGTGGAACTGGACTGAGTCGTGGACTTAAGGACCTTGGTGGTCTGTTTCTGGGATGGGCTAGAGGAACGTCTGGCTGTGGTCGTTTTGGTACTGGTTTTTGGAGTTTTACTGACTGTGATAGTAGTGGTCCTTGTGGGAATAGTAGGAAAAGTCTTAGTACTGGTGGTAGTGGGAGTCGTAGGTTTGGGAGAAGCAGTAGTACTGGTAGTTTTAGTTGAAGGTATAACAATGGGTTTGGGTGTAGTCGTCGTTGTGGTTGAAGTTGAAGCTGAAGTTGTAGCGTTGGTTGTAGAAGCTACTAGTTTCTGTGTTTGCGGTAATGCAACGGTCGAACCAGTTTCGGCGATCACTGTTGTTTCGGAATCTGTAAAAATAACGTAGGTTTTTTTTTTATTGCGATGATGTGTGGACGAGCTCACAGCCCACCTGGTGTTAAGTGGTTACTGGAGCCCATAGACATCTACAACGTAAATGCGCCACACACCTTGAGATATCGTTCTAAGGTCTCAGTATAGTTACAACGGCTGCCCCACCCTTCAAACCGAAACGCATTATTGCTTCACGGCAGAAATAGGCAGGGCGGTGGTACCTACCCGTGCGGACTCACAAGAGGTCCTACCACCAGTAAAAACCATTATCCACCAAACCATATTCACCATTAGAGTTGATTTATGACAATAGTGAGAGCATTATCAGAGGCGGCTTTGGTCCTATGGCGCAGAGTGTGGGTGCAATGGTGTAATGAAGTGACGGCCTCAGCGCTTTCAATAAACCTTTTACAATTGTGCCTATTCCTTTTTAACCCGTGCTTACTAAAGGGCGCTACGGTAATTATTGCACATGGGCAGTACTTGGGCTAGATGCCTTTGATTATTATACAGGGACCACAGAGAGAAAGCCGAAAATTGTAGGTAGTCCTCAATTAGAATAATCGATTCATTTTCGGAATAAAGAGTACTTGAACATAATGAACAAAGTAGCTATTCTTTTGCCAACCCAGAAATTATGTTTTACGCAATTATTAAGTAATATTATTGGTACTATAAAATAAGGCTTGCCGTATATCAAATGAGGCTAATTTGTGTATCTTTTTTAATTCTTGGATGAATGAACTAGGTCACCATCCATCCAGTGTTAAGTTACTGGAGCCCATAGACATCAACAACATAAATGCCCTCACTCACCTTGGAGATATAAGTTCCAACTCTCCGTTTCTACAGTACAATGCCACTCTTAAAACCGAACACTGATTCACAGGAGAAATAAGCTAGATGGTGGTACCTATCCGTGCGGGCTCAAAAGATGCTCAAGCACCAGACAAAAACCACTTAATTTCAGGGAAGCTGACGTTAATTTACCCATTTAAAAATCCTTCAACCCTGAACGCATGGTCGCGCCATTATTGAATTACACTTCCAAAGCGCACTGTTTATGTAATATCAATTATTATAAGTTACACGATCCGGTCGTTACCTTTTTCGATGCATAGATCTACGAAGTCTTGACAGCAGTAGCCATAGATGACGCAGTCTCCGTCGCAACCACAGCCTCTTGTGATAGTTATATTTTGGAAGCATCGACCGACGCAAGAGTCAGCTGTCAAAAAAAGCATTAGTCACACTGGGCGTTGCCGTAACAAAATTCAACTTATGATAGATAGATAGATTTATTGGTGGTAGGACCTCTTGTGAGTTCGCATGGGTAGGTACCACTGCCCTGCCTATTTCTGCCGTGAAGCAGTAATGCGTTTCGGTTTGAAGGGTGGAACAGCCGTTGAAATTATACTTGAGACCTTAGAACTGATGGTAGGACCTCTTGTGAGTCCGCACGGGTAGGTACCACTACCCTGCCTATTTCTGCCGTGAAGCAATAATGCGTTTCGGTTTGAAGGGGGTAGCCGTTGTAACTATACTGAGACTTTAGAACTTATATCTGTAGGTGGGTGGCGCATTTACGTCGTAGATGTCTATAGGCTCCTGTAAACATTTAACACCAGGTCAACTGTGAGTTCGTCCACCCATCTAAGCAATAAAAAAAAGCATCGCTATTCTAGAATATATGAATATTGTCCAAACGTACCTTTATAAGGAGAGGGGGTGATTGCATGCGCCGCTGCGTCTACGCACTTCTGTCCTCTCAACACGGAAATATCGTCAATAGCCAGGTCGCTCATGAAACTGGATCCTCGGATTCCTTCGATCACTATCTGTTATAATGCAATATAATACAATATTTTTATGCCGGTACGAGTAACGCCATCTGTCGTCACATAGCAAAACTGATATCGAAACAACTGGAACATCTCTGAATGTTCCAGAATGTTCTGGAAATTTGTAGACATAGTCAAAAATACTGTATAGGCGTAGCATAGACGACACGTAGACAATTCAATTCGAGGCGAAGCAACGAACGAATCACGTAAAGAAAGCGAAAAGATGAATTGTGATAGCGAAATCAACCATAATTATTATTGTCGTAATAACTAAATTGAGAATTAACTACATAGTATATCGGTGAAGGATTTTTTTATTTATTCTGAGCCCTAGCTAGTAAAAACCTATGTTGTCTTTCTGTTTTTAATTTTATATTATTATTTATAGTATTGTTAAATCTCTATTAATATGTTATTGTAATGCATGCTGTGATTGCCTATAATTAGAGTTGCAGTTATCAATTGCTCTATACATGTCAATGTTATTTTATGTCTTACTGTAAACCCTGTCGGTAATCCTTAAATAAATAAATAAATAAATAAATGGTTTCAGTTTTATCTCCTATTAATAATAACAATGTATTATGTATATAATATTAATTTTGTAAGATTCTTCAAACGGAACGCAATATTAATATACTGGAGTTTAGTAACTGCACTGTGCATAAAATTTCATCATCTTAGATCTTACAGCCCAGGATGGGCCTTAGTCTGGTCTTCCTAGACTTCTCTTTCTCTTTCCGGTTCTCTGGATAAGTATAATCAGATGCATAAACGAACTACCATTTAGTTAATATTCGTATTCATTCGTATGTGTAACAAGAAAGTGAAGACATATGTTATTTACTGTTCTAATTTGGCATTACCTGTTGTCTATATGTATTTTTTTGCATAGATAAAAGGATGAGTGAGTCATCTTGTATATATTAAACTACCACGACCTATTATGACGTAGTCTCAAATTGCATAATAAATCCAAATATTTCTTGTGCGTTAACGGCTAACCACCATCGTGCCTATCCCTGGCGTGAAGCTGTTTTGTTATGAAGCTATTGTACTATAAAACGGAGACTTAGAAATTTTCCTTCAAATTGGGTAGCGGCGTTTACTATCTATGGGCTCCGGTAACCACTTTACATCAGGTGGGCCGTGAAGATCGTCCACCCAACCAAGCAATATTAAATCCTTTAAACGAAAAACGCTTGCGCAGCTTATAAGAAGACAGTAGTAGTCGTGTTGGCTTACAATACGCTGTACCGCCAGTATGTCAGTTAAAAGTCTTCAAGACGAGCTTTACCTGAAAGTCTTCGTTAAAGTCCTTTAGTCTTGGAGCGGCGGAAAGCCAGAGGTCACCTTGTTCGCCCCACTTTTCAAAAATTATGTAATCCTTTCGCTGTTCCTCTGAAGCTAGCATCGTCATTAAATCGACGCTGTCCGGTTTTTGGTATACCCTAAGGCCTCCTAATGATCTGAAAGTTATCATTACTTTACTTACATACAGCACAAACAAAAATTTATCTATATATCTATACTAATTTTATAAAGAGGAAAGATTTGTTTGTTTGTTTGTATTGAATTGGCTCCGAAACTACTGAATCGATTTAAAAAATTCTTTCACTGTTGGAAAGCTACGCTATCCCCGGGTGACATAGGCTATATTTATTATATTTTAAAAAAAATTGGGGATCCTTACTGAAAATCCAATGTGTAAAAAAATTACCTAAAATTCTTTACATCGCGTGTGCTACTTTCCAAGGGAAGCCAGGGCGGGCCGCTAGTATATATATAAAAATGAACGAATGGCTGAACCGATTTGGTTAATTTTGGTCTTGGATTATTTGAGGAAGTCAAGATAAGGTTTAAAAGGTAGATAAATATGAAAATGCTCGAAATTAAAAAAAAAACACAACTTTGTTTGTCCTTTGATCTGTCCCCCGTCAGACGGATTCCTTTTGTTCGTTTTAAGTTTATTTTATACAAAAGTTTAGGTCTTTTATTTATCGATTGAGGCACTACGAAGTCTGCCGGGTCAGCTAGTTGAACATAAAAATTGCGTTAATCCGCTAATTAGCTAGTGACGTTGGTAGCGGCCTGATAATGCTCCTGGTATTGCTGACGTCCATGGGCGACAATAACCATTAAACATCAGTTGTGCCGTACACTCGTCTACCAACAAAGACAATAGAAGAATTAAATCAATATCTTAACGATATGTGTAGAACGTGATTTTCGTTGATATAATTAAAACGGTTTCAGTTTAAATAATTAATTACGAGTAGAAGTGAAAATTGACAGAATTCACGTGACTTCATTTCTTAACCGACTTCGAAAAATAAGGAGGCTCTATGTTCGAATCCATGTATATTTTAATCACGCTCATTAAAGCGTTCATTTGCGAACAGATTATGAAAATTCGGTACGGTATGATGTCCTCTTTACTGGTGGTAGGACCTTATTACTGGTGGTAGGACCTCTTGTGAGTCCACGCGGTAAGTACCACTGTCCTGCCTATTTCTGCCGTGAAGCAGTAATGCGTTTTGGTCTGAAGGGTAGGGCAGCCGTTGTAACTATACTGAGATCTTAGAACTTATATTTTAGGGTGGGTGGCGCATTCACGTCGTAGATGTCTATGGCCTCGAGTAACCACTTAACACCAGGTGGGCTGTGAGCTCGTCCATCCATCTAAGAAATATAAAAAAAAAGTATTCTTTTATGTATGCGAAATAAGTCCCAATTTACCTTCCATACATGTGATAATAAAGCTGAAAACATCCGTCCTTCGCTATGGTCGAATCGTAAATCGGCGATAAAAGTCGAGCTGTATCATTTATGAAACGCCCAGTACTCTCGATATACATGAAATGGCCTGAAATGGGAAGATTCGATGCAGTTTCAACCATGTCAGTTGCACGTCATTACGGATCCTCCCGATCCATTAACGGTGCTTTTAGGCCCCACAAGCACCGGTCACCGTCCTCGTCGAACCCGTCGCTTGCGACGAAGGGTTCAATGAGCGAATTAACCCCTAGACACAGCCCACTGAGTTTCTAGTCGGATCTTCTCAGTGGGTCGCATTTCCGATCCTGTGGTAGATTCTGCGAAGCACTCCTCTTGCTAGGGTCAGTCTTAACAACACTCCGATTTGAGCCCCGTGAGCTCACCCACACACGTTAGGGTGAAGCTGAAATAGCCTCTCAAAGCTATCAGCATAGGTAGGAAAAAAAACATGTCAGTTGCAGCCGTCAAACGCGAATACACAAGAGGTCGAAAGTCGTGTATCTAGTTCTCAAATACGACGAAAGACTCGCGTTTAACTTAAGCCATAAACAAACTGAGTTTCTCGCCGGAATTTCTCAGTGGGTCGCGATTTCGATCCGGTGGTAGATTCAGCGACGCACCGCTACTGTTAGGGCTAGTGTTAGCAATATCCCCCAGGCTGAGCTCGTCTATCAAACCACAAGTAACTGGAATAGATCGAGACCTCGAAGCAAAAGGTTAGCAAAACAGGAATTCATCATTTAAAATTACCGTTGATTCTAATGTGAACATCTGACATAAATGGGGTTCTCAGCGCTAACGGATTTCAATAAAAGTCTGTTAAGGGCTCGCCGATTATTAAATAGATTTATAATACCCTCAAAAGCACTAAAGAGACTTCTGTAGTTCTGTTTTTTCATGGATTCATCTTCATAATGAATATTTCACCGAGTTAGCAAAAAACCCGTAATCTACTTGTACAGTTTGGTATATTTTTTTCTTCATCTTCATCAGTTCAGTGATCCACTGCTGGCCCCTCGCAATTGAACTTCGACTTAAACTTAAGCAGCTTAAACATTAATACATACCCTTTCCTCTGGAGCCGTACGTGTGATCAAACCACGGTCCGGTAAGCGTAAAGGAGCTCGGAGTTTTCGTGTTCAGTCGCTTCCAATCGAAATCGTGGAACTCGTCTTGTATCCAACCGCAGAGGTCCTCTTCGAAGTCGCAACTGTACTTGATCGTTGTTACGTTGTTGTTCATCTCTATAATCGTATAGAAACAGGTTGTGATCACTGCGTAGTTTAAAAGGAAATCTTGTAACGCGCAATGCGAGATCGTGTGCTTAGTTAAACCAAATAGAGTTCTTTGAAATGTGGAGCTGGAGAAAAATGCTACAGATTCCATGGACCGCCTTTCGCACCAACGTGTCGATTCTGAGAGAGTTTAGTATCAAAACTAGAGTATCCACTATATATCCGGGTGGTACGTATTGTGGGCCCGCATGGTTAGGTAAAAATCCTGTTAATACTGCAGCGATGGACTACCGTTGCAGTAATAGGGAGACTGGGACCTCATGCAGCGTTCACGTGACGCTTATGAGGCTATCGAGTAACAGCTGGCTCTTGAACTGGAAGGTTTTGGCCTTTCCCCTCGTATCTCACATTTCCTGCAGGGGAACCTCGTAGGGGGTTCCCCGTAAAATGAAGAATAGTGTCTTAACTTATTCACCTCACCTCATTATCTCACCTACCGCATTTAAAAAAAAGTGATAGAACTTATATCTCAAGGTAGGTGGCACATTTACGTTGTAGATGTCCATGGGCTCCAGTAACCACTTAACACCAGGTAGGCTGTGAGCTCGTCCACTCATCTAAGCAATAAAAAAAATATTGTTTACGTGAAATAGTTGAGAGAGATAGAGAGAGCCGTATAGTTGTCTCGCAATTAACTCACCAACGCATTTAGGCGCAGTGCTATTCCATCTGTATCCATTGCAGTATAAAACTTCGGAACCCTCTAATCTGTAGTTCGGGAGGCAGAACGTCATGAGCCAAGCGCCATCGTGATGCGTCATCTGAATTCCATTCGTTATAGGTGGCAATTTAGGGCAGCCTGATTCTGAAAAATGATGTGAAAATGATTATTTCCCTGTTCTAACGATTGGTAATGTTATTAACATACAGATTACACGGCTACCCAAGGCTCCTAGACAATTACTGGTATCATTATATTTATATATTACTAGCTGACCCGGCAAACGTTGTTTTGCCATATATAGGATTTCTAAGGAATTTCTAGTGTAAGAAAAAAAAAAACTTATTGTAAGTTTGTAAGGATGTGGTAAATGAGTGAACGTAATTCATTACAACAAAAAAAAAAGTCCAAAAAATAAAATAAAAAAATGTTTGTTGTGGACAACCCTTATCAATTAGGGGTATGAAAAATAGATAGTAGATGATTCTCAGACCTACTGAACATGCATATAAAATTTCATAAAAATCCGTCAAACCGTTTCAGAGGAGTATGGTAACTAACATTGTGACACGAGAATTTTATATATAAGATATAGAAAATATTTGTCATTAGTCAGTATAGAGAATTATCAGGCTCTAGAGGCTATAGACATAGAGGCTATGTGACTATATAGAATGAATTATAACTTAACATATACTAGGGGAATTGAATTTAGAAATTTAATTTGACCTTTTCGATTAAAGAATGGTAGAATGTAGAAAGATGAAACTGGCCATATAGTATGTTTATTAGTAAATTTTAAATACTCTCACTCAGGGTACTCACTAACACAGACCGGCAGCTGCTCCTCCCAACGACCCATCCGACATATAGAGTATTTGTTCCCAACCAATTTATATCTAGGGTTACATACGAACTTCACGATTCTGGACTTAGTTCGCAATCTAGCTTTGCCATGCTGTAGATATGGGTAAGGACATCTTAGAGCGAATTCTGCAAAAGAAACAATTTCTTTATATGTATAGGCTGTGACTTGGAATCTTAAAACGAAAGAATTTTGAATCATTTTTGTCCATGACACGAATTCATAGTGAGCACGCGGGGATACGTACCGCAACCTTGCCTATTTCTGCCGCGAAAAATACCCGTTTGAAGGGCAGTCGTTGTATTATAGAACCGAGACTAATTGACTCATGTCTCAAGGAGGGTGGCGGCATTTTCGTTGTCGACATGGGCTACGGAACCAGTTAATACTAAATGAGCCACAAATGCCTTCACCCGTTAACGCAATAAACACATAAAAAGTCATTTTAAAATTCGTCAAAATTCCCAGAGATCCACTTGATGTTAAACAGTTATATTTTGCGAGAATTTTTATGTGCAATTAGCAAAAAAATTCGAACGAATTCTATATGATTCCATGACTTTATTATCGTGTTATGTATTAATAAAATGAACTGTCTGTTTTTATCAACCGGACGCACGCTCTGAGTATGTCCTCGTGGAATGTTTCCGTTCGGTCCACGGGAATGGCGTAGGCAGAGAGCACAAGCTTACAAGCTTTGCTTCTTTATTTGCCTATCTATCTGTCGCCTTAAAGGGCTATACTGGCTTTACCGTGATTAGGTCACCACACAATCTCACCGGTATCGGCCTGAAGGACTTTGCTAACACTAGCCCTAGCAAGAGCAGTGCTTCGTTGAATCTGCTACCAAATCGAAATCCCACTGAGAAGATCCGACGTGAAACTCAACGGGCTGTGTCTATGGATTAAATTGCACCGAGCGTGGATCGGACGGATCCTAAAAGACATGTCTAAGGCCAGAAACTTGCAACCTACCAACGACATACAGTAACTCTGCGTCAATGTGCTTTATTTTAACACAGAAGTTGCTTCTTTATTTGTAGGCGAACAACCTCACGATCTGGCGTTATACGCTACGATTATAGGTATCACAACAAGAACGCGATCATAAACCTTGGTATAACTTCATTAGTTTAATACAAGTGTGCCTAAAACGTGATCACGAACAACAAAAGAGAAACAGCATGGAATAATTAAAGTAAAGACCCGTAAAGCTCATTAATTTGCTTAAATACGGCCGTCTTGGAAGAAGACACGGGTCGGTAGGTAACTAGAGTTCAATTCTTAGCAGTAGACAGCGGGTTTGTGTCCCTGGCATTGCCATGGTGAGCCGTATCCTCAGTCGTCTACATAAAAGGACATTTAAAAAGAAAGAGAAGGATGTTTCTAGACCCTGAACGCCACTTAATTAAATCTACTTTTAACCCTATGACTTCCCTGCACGTCACAGGTGGTCTACGCGGCGCACTGAAGTAATTTGTATGTAGATTTCTGTTAGTAAACAGCGTCTGGATTGCCTAACTTTGCCTTCTTTTCTTTATTAAGTATGTTATAGTCTTTCAGGACTCTTAGAAAAAGATTAATTCTCAGTATATTCGTTTTCGTTTTTTCCAGAGTCTACTAGATATTTGGAGAAGCTAATGGTGACTGGCAAGGTGAACGGAAGAAGACCACGAGGTAGAGGCCCGACACGTTGGACTGACCAGATCCGCACTACCCTCGACACCACAGTTCACGATGCTCTACACTCGGCGGCAGATAGAGGCAAATGGCGTGGAATAGTCCGTAATAAACTCTTGTTGCGAGGAGGTGGTCACGACCCTCAGTATTGAGGAAACCGAAACAAGAAGAAGAACTAGATGTTTGGGCGTCTTAGTAACAGAAACCGACATAATTACTTCAGTGCGCCGCGTAGGGCACGGGTGACCTACATGACAGTCAACGTGTTGATGTTTAATCTTGTGCTAATTCTTCATATAAAAAGTCGATGATTAACACCACGATCGTCCGCTACCACGAAAACTCTCTATATCCGAAAGTCGTAAATAATATTATGACAGTAAACAAACGCGAAATTAAACCGTAAAATTAATTTAAATTATATGTCCACGACTCGTCGAAACTCCATTAAAATACTATGTTTCCACATTTAGAACCATACGAATAGATAAAATTCTTCGTAATGTCAAAATAACATCCACTGACTCTTTTGACTGACTCCGTGGTGTATTAGTTAGCGCTACTGTTGCTATAGGGTCATGGGTTCGATTCCCACATCGTGCAAACATTCGCGTGATGAACTGGTTCGTTGGCTCTTTGTCTGAATCTTTATTATCTATTTATGTATATATTTAAACGTATACAAGTATATATATCAGTCTCTACTACCCATAAGACTGGGAATCTTAAATTAGGGCCGGTTGACCGTGCGTGATTTGTTATTATTATTAATAACTTTTTAATAAATTTATATTGTTATAAGGAGTTATTTTGGGTACATTTATATATAAATAATATTAGGCAGGTACCACCACCCTGCCTATTTCTGCCGTGAAGCAGTAATGCGTTTCGGTTTGAAGGGTGGGGCAGCCGTTGTAACTATACTGAGACCTTAGAACTTATATCTCAAGGTGGGTGATCTATCTGAGCAATAAAAAAATTTAAAATTAATTGTCGAAAAATACGATACGAATAGTTCTCAATAAAATAGGTATTAATGTCAGACAAGCAAAGCTGGGTTTAACTATTATTATAAGAATATCGATCGCTGCGTTAATCTAGCTAGTCGATTCTTTAATTTTTCCTCGTCAAGTGTAATTCCGACCACCGTAACGCAGGGGAATTATCTAGTTTGGGGTAGCAACCCTAGTTGCAACTTACGGTAGGTATTAAACCATTTATCCGTTCCCTAGGCTTTTTCTATTTTCTCTGAAGCATATAAGCTTTACTGTTTAGTTTCTCGACAAGCTTATCAGTTCGGTTATCCAAGTTCCTAATCAATCATCAGATCATCTCTTCAGTATTCTATAATTAGATCTTCAGAAATATTCAAAAATTTAATGACGTGACATTCGTTTTTCAATAGAATGAAACTTAAACACTCAATTAATTACTTTGACAAATGCATTTATATTGTACAGCACATCTATATACACGCACACACTTATAATTATATATATAAAGAGAAAAAAATGTTTAAATTTTACTCACGGGCCTCGATATAACAAAAAAACATTAACGATAAAATACACTTAGATAATAAATTCATGTTTCACTTCTTTTTTTTTTAAGTTTTGTTCAAAATTATTTTTTTATATAATTTAATCCGTTCATGTCATTTCCGAATTTAGACTTAACTATTCGCGGTGTCAGAACATTTTCAAATGCCTTTTAGTTGATTTCGATGTGCTTGTGTAGGGTCGGTCAAAGATTATAATAATTCAGATGGGCTACTCAACAGCAGTAAGAATTTATTATTGTTTAAGTAATTTTTGGGCATAAATAAGTAATTTCATTAACAGTTTGGCTATTTTTAAACCAAAACTGCTTGACAAAAGACACCGATAGTGTGGTGGTGCCTACCACTAAAAACCACTACCACCAAATATTGTTTTACTTATAGCTTTTTCAAATTACTTTTTATCACACGATGCTTATTCTTTCGTCGTGGAAGTTGTTCGTGAAAGTGTGTTAGGTACTCTATCTGAGGTACATATCTGTTTAATCCTGTGTAAATTACTTATGGGTAAATCCCTCTGTAAGATTTGAGACATAAGTTACAGCATAGACGCCTATCGGCTTGGACCGCTTCATTTGTATTTTTTTTTTATTAAGTTTATTGTACGCAAGTGGAATACAGTTAAAAACCAACTGCATCGCTGTGTCAACGGTCTTGATTGAGCCCGAAAAGCGGCTACCGTCTCGTTATATTGCGGGCTTGCGTAACATTAAATGGCAAGTAATGTAATGCCCTTTTAGTTTTGAAGACAGTTCCGATACACGAAATTTTTCATTCGGAGTTCCCGGGACTCAATGCAAAAATCACATTTTATTCAGGTCGACAAGCAAGCATATGCTTATTACCTTTTTTTTTCAATAGAATTGAGACTTATTTCATGCTTTAAACTAGACGCTGACACTTCAGTTGTACTGTCTATTGAGTCATTAGTTTTTTTATTTATTTACAACAATAAAAAAATGTTACCCCTACTAATTTCTAATCATATTTTAAACTTAAGTATAGTAAAGTTGTACAACAGTTTGTAGCACCTATTATGTATTCACTAATTAAAGTATAGTTGTATACAAAAATAATAAAGTCGATATACATTTAGAAAATATAAAAAATTTACATTTCTATTTTTTAATCTTTATAGACTTATTTTAAAATTTAGCAGTCAGTATTCTTTGTACGGTCGTCGTCTATTCTGGCTTTATTCTTTGACACAAACGCTTCTGTACTATCAGAGGAAGCGGACTTTCCACTGATGTTTCAATGAATACTATCAAGACCGTACATGGTATTTGTACAAACAGATTAGAATATTGCTAAATTATATCTTATCTCAAAAATCCTAAAACGAAACAAAAAGGGGATGAATCATGTCACAATCAACGATACATACTTTTGGTACGAGTAATTCTTTGTCAAAAAAACAGAGAGAAATTTTCTAATGGCGACGTAGTAATTCGCGCCCGTCTTCTGTGTACATATTGCGAGTTTTTTAACTTCAGAGTTCACTTAAATTTTTGTGGAGTTTGTGGAACAGCTTCCCTTCATTTGCCGCTAGAGTCATGCTTTTTGGTCTTACGCCAAAGCTGTAGAAGGAAACTTTTGCAGGTCTAGTCTCCCAACACTGCGCACTGGTACTGGCGGTAGGATCTCTTGTGAATCTGCACGGGTAGGTACCACCACCCCGTGAAGCAGTAATGCTTTTCGGTTTGAAGGGTGGGGCAGCCTTTGTAACTATACTGAGACCTTAGAACTTATATTTCAAGGTGGGTGGCGTATTTACGTTGTAGATGCCTATGGGCTTCAGTAACCACTTAACACTAGGTGGGCTGTGAGTTCGTCCACCCATCTAAGCAATAAAAAAATTTAAAAAAGTCCGATGACAGTCCGGCTAATAGTGCAAAAGAGAAGGCTGACCTTCTGGTCAAAGTATTCGCCTCAAGCTCGACTATAAACGACAAGTGTGGCACACCACCAAACTGTGGCGGTAGCCTGATGGCTATGGATACAAATAGAACACAAGATATTTGACAGATGCCTGAATCTCACTTAAGACATTTTCAAGATAAGCTTGCATTTATACAAGTTTCGAACAACAACATTAGGACCGTCGGTCTACCAAGAAAATATCACCCGCTCGGTGGAAGATCTTTCCTCCGTCGTATATCTCTACAAAACATCCCCCAGCGTGATAGCTCTTTGCCGGAGATCTGCTACACACAGTGTTCAGTCAGGCGGGAGCTCCGGGCCCTGAGCGTCCATAAGTCGAGTGGGCCAGATTGCATCCCTACAGTGGTTTTAAAAACGTGCGGGCCTAAGCTGACACCTGCGCTAACGCGTCTGTATCGTCTCTCATAAAGTACTGACAGGGTTCCGTCTTCATGGAAAATTGCCCATGTCCACCCTATCCCCAAGAAGGGTGACCGATCGGACCCATCGAAGTATATGCCTATTGCATAACTTCCTTGCTTTTCAAGGTGATGGAGCAAATGTGCAACTCCTGAAGTATCTTGAGGATCGCCAGTTGATCAGTGACCGGTCAGTGACCGATAGTACGGCTTCCGTCACGGTCACTCAGATGGCGATCTTTTTGTATACTTTACTCATAGGTGGACTGAAGCCTTGGAAAGCAAGGGCTAGGCTCTCGCTGTAAGCCTTGATATAGGGGAGGCCTTTGACAGGGTCTAGCATAGGGCACTTCTGTCTTAGTTATCATCTTACAGAATCCCCGAGAAACTTTGGAAATGGATCGCTAGCTTTTTGGATGGGCGAAGCGTCATGGTCGTTGTAGACGGTTGCTGCTCCAATACCATGACCATTAACGCTGGCGTTTCACAAGGTTTGGTGCGCTTTTCATCCTGTATAACAGTGACATGCTAATATACAGGGTGGCCCATAAGTCCTTTGAAAAGTAAAATTTGAATAAAACGAACAGGGCGCGCGTGAGCGGTGCAGGGGAAGCGGGGGGAGTAACTTCGGTTTCTGGGAATTTAGTCGCGATGGAGCGTTTTACCGGAGCGGACCGTGCGTTTTGTGTGCGCGAGTTTTATAAAAACGACAATTCGGCAACCGTTGCGCGGCGTAAATTTCGAGAACACAAAGGTTTACACAACTTTGACGACACTCCAACTCTTCAAACGATTAAGAACTGGGTTGCTAAGTTCGAGGAGACCGGTTCGACGTTAGATAAACCGCGGTTGGGTCGCCCAAGGACGTCACGTACGGAACAAAACATAGACACAGTGACACAGTCTATTCGCGAAAATCCGACACAGTCAACTCGTAAGCGCGCCAGAGCATTAAACGTATCCAGGACATCGTTACAACGGATTTTGAAGAAAGATTTACATATGCACCCTTACAAAATTCAGTTGGTTCAAGAATTAAAGGAAACTGACGGTATTCAAAGACAAAATTATGCGAATGAAATGTTGAATCGGTTTACTTCCTTCAATAACATAATGTTCTCTGACGAGGCTCATTTCCATCTTAACGGGCATGTTAGTAAACAAAATTGCCGCTATTGGAGCCCCATCAATCCAAAACTTAAGCATCAGAAGCCCTTACATAGTCCGAAAGTGACTGTTTGGGCCGCTATGTCAGCCCATGGTATCCTAGGGCCTTACTTCTTTGAGGATGGCAGAGGGCGCGCAGTTACTGTTACGTCGGAGCGATATGTGGCTATGATCGAAGAGTTTTTCATACCAGAATTGCAAAACTTTTCAGGCTTTAATGCCAGGACGTGGTTTCAACAGGATGGGGCCACTTCTCACACCTCTAACACTGCTATGCCCGTTATCCGTCAACTTTTTCCTGGCAAAGTTATCTCTAAGAGAGGAGACATTTCCTGGCCTCCACGTAGTCCAGATCTGACCCCGATGGATTTTTTTTTGTGGGGCTACCTTAAGGCTAAAGTATACGACACAAACCCGCGGTCAATTGAGGCCCTAAAAGAAAACATCCGCAGAGAAATGACAAGCATTTCAGCAGTGACGTGCCGCGCAGTCATCGACAATTTTAGACGTCGTTTGCAAGAGTGCCGTGATCGCAACGGATTACATTTAGGAGATGTTATTTTCAAAAAATAATTCCCGTTTTTTAAGCTTTTTATGTAAATAAAAATTTAATTCATAATGTAATTAGTTTTATTTTAATAATTTTTTTTTCATATCAAAGGACTTATGGGCCACCCTGTATATATATATATATATATATATATTTTTTTTATTGCTTAGTTGGGTGGACGAGCTCACGGCCCACCTGATGTTAAGTGGTTACTGGAGCCCATAGACATCTACAACGTAAATGCCGCCATCTACCTTGAGATATGAGTTCTAAGGTCTCAGTATAGTTGCAACGGCTGTTCCACCCTTCAAACCGAAACGCATTACTCCTTCACGGTAAAAAAAGGCAGGGTACCTACCCGTGCGGACTCACAACATGTCCTACTACTTGTAGGTAATTACGCAAATTATAATTTTGCAGGTTTGTTTTTTAATATATTTTTTTCTATCTATGCTGATAGCCTTAAGAAGCTATTTCGACCTAACGTGTAGGTGAGCTCAAGGGGCTCAAACCGGAGTGGTGCTAACAATGGCCTTAGCAGGAGCAGTGCTTCGCAGAATCTGTGGGTTAATTCGCTCGTCAAGCCTTTCGTCGCAAGCGACGAGTTCGACGAGGACGGTGACCGATGCTTGTAGTACCTAAAAGCACCGTTAATGGATCGGGTGGATCCGTAATGACGTGTGTTTTTTAATACACGATGTTATTCCTTTAGCGTGGAAGTCAATTTTTTTTTTTTTTTTATGATTGATCATTTACTGGTGGCCCGGAGGCCTTTCCAGTTTCACCACGACAGGTGGGTGAGCAAAGGCTCAGCCAGAGGGGGTGAGATTTGCTAACAGCTGCCCGAGCGCCTCCGAAGGAGGAAGTCAATTGTGAACATTTGTTAAGTACGTATTTCATTAGAAAAATTGGTACTTGCCAGCGGCATTTGAACACTGGTCGAAAGCACCAGACAACTTATTCTTTAGGCTACGACTAGTCCACTGAAAAAGTCTCAATAAATAACCACCATTTTATTGAGATTAATTTCTTCCCATATCATTTCATCTCATTTCACTTCATTTCATTTCAAGCCTAATGATTAATGTTATAAATTAATCATCTTCATTTCATTTCATTTCATTCCAATAATTATTATCATTTTTCATAAATGGCAGACAACCTACCGATTTGCGGATAAAACCAGACTAAATCGAGCTATTAAAGAACTCAAAGATCTTCTGGATTACGCTTCAAACGAATCACTCACGCAGAGATTGGAAAAAATGTCTCCAAATGCAAATGGCTCTCACAACCTCTGGAAGGCAACAAAGTACCTCCCACAGCCGCAGCAGTGCTCTCCGCCTTTAAGATCCGGTAATAAATGGGCGCGAACTGACCAGGAAAAATCTCAGGCCTTCGCTATATACCTGGCTGAAGTATTTAAACCCAACAGTACGGATAGTCCAGAGGATCCCGAAATAAACCGAGTATTAAAGCAAGACTTGCANAATGAAAATATCAAAATGCTTCTCACTAAAGGTACATAAGTTTATATAAATATTAATAAATACTAGATACCGACCAGGATCACCTCGACCGTGTAGTACAAATGTTTTTACATTAAACAAACATATTGATCTGATATATACCTTATATATATACCTACACATTGTGAAAACAAAAGAAATGAATATTCTGGATCAATAAAAAATTACATTAAAAGCAGGTTATGTGAATCGAAATCTCATAAAAGTACAAATCACGTTTGGAAAATCGAATAATATTTGCTTGATTTTTTTATTTAGCTGTTTGATTATTTATGTCCGTTCAGATTATGGTGCAAATTGTAAGATGTGAGAACAGTTCCAGTTCTGATACAGACTATAAAAATACATTACAGTCTGTAATAGGTAATTGAACAGGAATTGCTATTTTTTTCTAGATTACCTTAAACAAATCACTTCCGAATAGAGCCTGCTTTTCGTGCATCAACAAAATAAATGAAATTCACAATTTTTACACAAAAGTTATTGAAAATGAAAAGAAACTCCTTTGTTACCATACCAGTAAGGATCAAGTTAGGAATTCAGTTCAAACAGCAAATGAAATGCAAGATGTAAATATTGAATACTGTAATGAAAATATTTTTTGTGAAACTGAGAGCAATGATAATACTGAGATGCAGTTAAAGCAAGAAAACTTGTTATCTACAACAATTTATCCAAACTCTTTTCAAATTACAAAGAAAGATTTCGATTTTCATTGTTCATTGTGCCTTCAAAGTTTTCAAAGGCCATCTCTGTTATTGGAACACAGGGTGCACTGTATTGATGAGAAATCAAATATCGAATTAGATATTGATAAGTATGACCAATCTACAAATAAACAACTTGTAGATAAAGCAGAGAAAGAAAATGCCACCAAAATTCTGAAAGAAAAAGATGAAACTAAAATGACCAATTTGAATTTAGATAACAGTAAATGTGATGAAAAGTATTCAATAGTCAGTAGCGGAGATCAATTTAAGTTTAAATGTAATTTATGTGAGAAATCTTTCAATACAAAAAAAGCAGTTGTCAGACATATTGTTAGTCATACAAATGAAAGACCGTTTGTCTGTAATATATGTGGTAAGTTGTTTTGCTTTCATGCTTATATCAAAATAAAAATTACGTCATTTAATAGTGAAAATATAGGATTCTCCATGTATGAGACATACAAGAACATTTCTACATATATTAATATTAAAGTTTCGTAGAGCATAAACCCCACAGAGATATTACTCTGAAGTCGTCTGGTTATAAATTGTTATATTTTTTTTTTAGTTGCTGTTGTTTTGTTAATATACTGAGACTTTTAGCGTAAAATATAAAAAATAAATATACTACTGGTGGTAGAACCTCTTGTGAGTCCGCACGGGTAGGTACCACCACCCCGCCTATTTCCGCCGTGAAGCAGTAATGCGTTTCGGTTCGAAGGGTGGGGTAGCCGTTGTAACTATACTGAGACTTTAGAACTTATATCTCGAGGTGGGTGGCGCGTTTACGTTGTAGATGTCTATGGGCTCCAGTAACCACTTAACACCAGGTGGGCTGTGAGCTCGTCCATCCATTTAAGCAATAAATAAATAAAAAAATACTAATCTTATGTTTCAGGTAGAACATATAAAACTTCTGGGGAAATATTAAGACATAAACGAATACACAAATCTGCTGAATTAATTTGTTCATATGAATGCGGATATAGAACATCATACAGAGGTGCACTTAAAACACACGAGAAGACTCATCAACCATCACAGTATAACGTAAGAGTTACCGTTTCATCACCTTGTATCTAGATTTAAAGCAAGCTTAGACTAAACTTAAAAAAATAATGTTTTAAATAAAGTTGCAAGAAGCAGACAAGTTAGCACAGTTCTGACGCAATTAATGATGACAATCTATATCGTGAATAGTCTTCATGTTATATATAATATTACAAATCATTCAGTGTTAATTAACTTGGTTGAAGCATTGGTGTATGTATATTATAACATAGTCTTGTTATGTGAGAAGTAACTTTATATTAGAATTACTTGAAATACTAAATGCTATGCAATAAATAAGGCAGAATAGTGCCATGTTCGATCTAGGTTTATGTGTTGTATGTCAGCTATTTCAATATATTTGTAGTATAAATGTGAAACCTGCGGAAAAGGTTTTCAAGTTTTAACAATGTATAAGCAACACCAGAACGTGCATGAAGGGTTGAAGCCATTCGTGTGTAGCATGTGCGGGGTGGCTTTCCATATGGACAGGTGAGTTTGTATTTTTTTGTTATATTTTATTGAAAAGGTTGTGATTATCAATTTACAAAACAATAAAATGAATGGAAAAAAATAATGTTGTAGTTACAAGAGCAATATAGTGCAGTCTTGTGTACCTTTACTTATTGAAGAATAATACGGAGAAAGAAAAATTATTCATAGTCATACACTCCGTACCAGCAAAACTATTGTTAAAGTCTACATGTCATCTGTCAACGGCACCAAAACAAGGATGTCAGGAACACAACATTCAATTCCAAAATGTACCACTGAAGACCACTACGTCTGATGGCTTTAAAACTTTAGATTTTACATTCCCTAAAATAAAAAAATAAAAGTTGTTCCCTGCAACATTATAATCCACCTGTGACATTTGGTTCTTCACAGACTTGATTCTGCAGGATGTTAACCAATGTGCTTCTTGGTCCCTTGGATGGTATCAGCATTATACCTATTTCTGCTCAGAAGCTAATCTTACTTGCAGTATATTCAGCTCTTGATATTGGTATCTTCTGGTTCTTGTAATCACTTTGTTTTATCAATCATAGAATAACAAAGGGGCAACAAAATCCTTTGACGATCTGTGGTAATGAAACAATAAGATCATGTTATCGGTCTACAAATCTCCATTATTTATATCCATAAATATTAGGGGCCTCTTTCAGGTATTTAAAAGCACATCTGCAGAATGTCCATAACAAGTCCACAAATGGTAAATGTTTCATATGCATACACTGCTGCTTACCACTGGACAGTCTTCTAGAACTGAAAATGCACAAGATTGAGGTAAAAATGTTATTCCTATTATCTAGATATGTACAAACAGGCCAACAAATATCTGTAATGTATATTCAACTAATTTTCTTTTTGCTTACAGTTATTAATGAGATTCAGTTGTAATAATTAAAGATTATTTGGAAACAGTAATTTAGTTTTCAAAATGTCAATAACAAAACAAAAGAGAAACTGTAAAATGTAAATAATACAAGGGCAATAAAAAGAAATAATAATAATTTCAATCTCGACATATCAGTGATTGTGGTTGAATTTCCAAGAATTTAATATATATAATTTATAAACATAAATAAAATTAATATCTTTGCTGTGAAATACTGGTGCACAATAATCATATCTTATCTTATACCTTTAAATGAGCAATTCTTGTATATATATATATATATATGTCGGCTCACGTCAGGGATGGCTGAGCACTCGTAGTCGATTGAACTCAGTTTAGTCAATAAAATTTTTCAATAATAATTATTGAAACTCAACACACACAACTTTCACAATGACAGGGTAAACCGACAGTTTCGTTGCACATACCGACAGACCGACTGACTGACTGACAGAGACTCACTCACTGAGACGGACNACTGAAATACAGGACAAGGAAGGCGGAGATAGCTGACAAAACTATTGAAAAGGCAGGGATAATCCTTGTGGTACCAATATTTATTAGAAGAGATAAAATCAGAAAGGATATGGAGTTTAGAGATAAGAGGATGATAAGGAGATTGAATGACTTTAAAAAGGAACCGGTCAGATAAGTATTGTCTTCTAAGGAATAAGGGGGCATCGCCGCATTCTACCTGAAGAGCACTAATAGGTGACGATTTCATAGCTCCACAGATTAATCTCAGACATTTAGATTGAAGTTTGTCAAGGGAACTCATAGCAGATTTGTTACAAGGGTCAAGAAGGAAAGTGCCATAGTATAAGCGACTACGTACTAAGGCGTTATACATAAGTTTTTGAGTATAGGGGTGACACCAGACACCAGACAAGGAACGCAGAATGTTAATATTTTTTTCACATTTTTTAACAATATGATTAATATGATGGACACCAGTTAATCTAGAATCTAATACAACACCAAGAAATTTCACATTGTCTACAACCGAAAAATTTTGTTGATCGTAAGATATTGAAACGTTGGGACAAGATCTGGACCGAGAGAAAACAACCACTTTGCTTTTAGGAATAGATAGGGACAGACCGTGGTCTGAGAGCCAGTCTTGGAGATAGCCTATGCCTGAATTTAGGCGAGAAGAGGCCTCATCAATATTCTTAGAAGAAACGTAGAGTGCGAGATCATCAGCATATTGTAGAACTTGACAAAAGGAATTAACCGAAAGCTCTAAATCGTACGTATAAATACTGTAAAGTAATGGGCTGAGGACTGACCCTTGGGGGAGCCCCTTCCACAGCTGTCTGGGAGAGGAAGAATAATTTGGAGCACGAATATATACGAATCTAGGAGACAGGAGATTAGAAATTATGTTTACAATCTTCACAGGAATACTCAGCTGGAGCATTTTCTGCCTGAGCACTGGAAGAAGAACATTGTCATACGCAGATGACACGTCCAGAAAAACTCCTACCAAAGACTCATTTTTAGAGAAGGAAATACGAACGTCTGTTACAAATATGCTTAAACTATCCATAGTGCTAAAACCTTTTCGGAATCCAAACTGAGATTTAGGTAATATGTACCTATTTTCTACAATCCATTCCAAACGGTTCTTGATTAAATGTTCCAATATCTTAGCCATTGTACAGGACAAAGCGATTGGCCGATAGCTAGAAGGGTCAGAGCTGGGCTTTCCAGGTTTTAAAATAGGGATGATAATTTGAGTCCTCCATTCGTCAGGTGGAGTTCCAGATAAAAATATATTATTAAGAATGGAAAGGAAAACCTGTTTTACAGAGTTACTGCTTTTGGAAATAAACGAGTATGGAATCCCGTCAATTCCTGGAGATGAATCACTTAAACCTTCCAAGACAGCTGAAAGTTCCTCCCAAGAAAAAGGAGATTCAAAATCATCAGTAGGGTTAGAGGGTATAGTGGAGGGAAAAGTTTCTTCCAAGCAAGGTACAGAAGGAGGGGCTAACCTACAGGAAAAATGTTCAACCCAGTCAGAAGGATCGTTAGATGAGATGACAAGAGCAGGAACAGAGCAGCGATAACGTCTCATATTCTTCCAGACTTTAGAAGGGGGAGTAATAGGAGAGAGCTCCTCGCAAAAACGCAACCAACCAGATCTTTTCTTTTCTGATAAAAGTCTTACAGTCTTGGCTGCAATTCTCTGGTAAGAGATGAAATTTTCCGAGCTCATAGCAACCGAATAAGCATCCTCAGCTTCTGATCTGTTCTGGCAAGCTTGAGTGCACTCTGAATCCCACCACGGGGGAGAAGGGATTTTACATCTAGCAGTGTTTTTGAGAGGTATAGAATTAGCAGCAGAAGAAAGGAGAGCGTTTCTGAAACATACGTAAGAAGAAAGGACATTGCCAGGGTTAATCAAAGGAATATTCATTATTTCTTGATCTAAAAGAGATCTGAATTGAGACCAATCAGCTCTGTGAATATTAAATTTTAAGAGAGGTGGAAGGGAAGCATTTGGAATAGAATTAAGGGAATCAGGAATTGACAGAATGATGGTAAAGTGATCACTACCGTGAGTGGAAGGAAGGACAGACCAGGAGACGCTAGAAGCCAAGGAAGGAGAAGTTAAGGAAAGGTCCACAGCAGTCTTTGGATTCTGAGATGGAGGAACTCTGCGAGTAGGGGACCCGTCATTCAGTAAACACAAATCTAGTTCATCACAGAGATCAAGAAAAGGAAAAGAAATAGAATCACAGTAATAACAACCCCAAGATGTATGGTGAATATTAAAATCACCAAGGATAAGGATGGGTGGAGGAAGACTTGTAATAATAGTTTTTAATTCAGAGAGAATAGCTAAGTTAGGTTCAGGGATGTAGATGGAGAGGAAAGAAATATTATTAACTCTAACAGCAACAGCAAAAATGCTATTACTGTGGGAAGGAAGGGAGATTTGTTTAAATATCACATTTCTAGAAACTAAAATAGCAGAACCAGCATAACCATCTAACCTATCGTCCCGGAGACATGAGAAACCCGGGATCCTAAAGTTGGATCCGGGCTTAAGCCATGTCTCCTGGACAGCAAAGATAGAAGGATTGTGTTTATTAATAAGGGTGATGATATCATTCTTCTTGTGACGAATGCTGTGACAATTCCATTGTAGGAATTTGGGCATTTTTAATAATTTTATTAAGCTCAGTAAGTTTAGATATGACATTGTTCGGTAGTTCAAAGTCCCCAAAACGGGAAAATATATTTAAAATTGTAGAAAGTAGGAGTTCCAGGAGATTGTCATTGGGAGAAACATCATCTGAAGGATAGGCACTCCCATTAGGGAGACTAGGAGGGGGAGTACTAACAATAGCTTGATGAGCTTGCCTATTATAACCTGGACTGGATGCCGGAGCTGGAGGGGATTTTTGGGTACAGTAAGTGCGACGGTACGAGACTGAATTCGATATGGCTTGGATGTGGGGAGAAGATTGGGTTAGGGTTTGGGAAGATTGAGTGGGAAACGGGGGGGGAGGCGTACGAGAAATGTCTGCAAAAGATCTTTTGACTTGTGGAAACCTGACTGCCGCTTCGTTGTATGAAATATTTTCTTGTGACATCACCAGTTTGATAGATTTCTGTCTAGAATATTCAGGGCAAGATGTATCTATGGCTTTATGGTTACCAGAGCAAAACAAACAGGTAGGTATCGGAGATAAACTATTACATTCAATACCAGAGTGAGATTTCGCACAGATAAAACAACGCGCATTTGACCGGCATTGCGTAGCAACATGTCCAAACCTGCAGCAATTATTGCATTGAATAGTTGGTAAAATGTATGTTTGAACTGGGAGGGAATTGAAAAAGCAGTAAACCCTATCAGGAAGCCGTTGGCCAATAAATGTAAGGACAACTGTCGGAGTTGGAGTCCAAATAGGGGTGTTGTTTTCAATTGATTTTTTATTGAGTCGTCGGGCTCTGATGACACGTCCAAAACCATCAGGAACTTCAATGGAAGAAACTAATTCTTCTAAGGTCCACTCTACGGGGACGCCTCTTACAATACCCATGCGAGTCACATTATAAGAAGGTATAACGGCATTGTATTTGGCTGCGGCAAGACCTGGGTGATCTAGGAAGGAATTTGCGGCAACAGCAGTTTTAAATTGGACTGAGACTCGGTTTCGGCCGATACGTTTAACACCGTCTTTAGCAACGTCCTTGATATTGTTGTGGTGTAAAAAGTGACCAAACTTAATTGGGCGTAGTGTAACACTAGCCGAAGACTCGCAATCTTTGCTTACGTGGATCAAAAAAGGAGCAACATCCTGATCCAAATATCGTTTTCTGTTGCCGTCATATTCTGGTAAGGTATACACAGATTGAACAGATCCGATTACTTGTGCTACTGTATTTTTCTTTGGTGGTAAAGAGGAATGATCAGAATTTGGAGGCGATTGTCTTTTTCTAGAATGAAGGATTACCTCCGTGTCCATTGGGATTGATGAGTTAGTTGGGTCAAGGATATAACCTCCCCCGGGATCGGGGGGGTCAACGCCGTTCATAATTACACTATTTACACTTAACTACTATATTATAATACTTACAAATAAGACAACACACTTATATAAACACACAAAACTAATAATTAGCTAATCAACAGGGAATAGAACCCAATAAAGCACCCGAAAATTATTAAACAACCAAAACACTTGCTTCAAACACTTAACCACCATAGATCCTTCTAAATTGCATTAATATGTTTGTACCATGGAGTTAATAAGTAGTTAGAATCTTATTCATAGTCATACACTCCGTACCAGCAAAACTATTGTTAAAGTCTACATGTCATCTGTCAACGGCACCAAAACAAGGATGTCAGGAATACAACATTCAATTCCAAAATGTACCACTGGAGACCACTACCTCTGATGGCTTTAAAACTTTAGATTTTACATTCCCTAAAATAAAAATGTAAAAGTTGTTCCCTGCAACATTATAATCCACCTGTGACATTTGGTTCTTCACAAACTTGATTCTGCAGGATGTTAACTAATGTGCTTCTTGGTCCTTTGGATGGTACCACCATTATACCTATTTCTGCTCAGAAGCTACTCTTACTTGCAGTATATTCAGCTCTGATATAGGTATCTTCTGGATCTTGTAATCATTTCGTTTTGTCAATCATAGAATAACAAAGGGGCTACAAAATCCTTTGACGATCTGTGGTAATGAAACAGTAAGATCATGTTATCGGTCTACAAGTTTCCATTATTTATACCCATAAATATTAGGGGTCTCTTTCAGGTATTTAAAAGCACATCTGCAGAATGTCCATAACAAGTCCACAAATGGTAAATGTTTCATATGCATACACTGCTGCTTACCACTGGACAGTCTTCTAGAACTGAAAATGCACAAGATTGAGGTAAAAATGTTATTCCTATTATCTAGATATGTACAAACAGGCCAACAAATATCTGTAATGTATATTCAACTAATTTTCTTTTTGTTTACAGTTATTAATGAGATTCAGCTGTAATCATTAAAGATTGTTTGGAAACAGTATTTTTGTTTTCAAAATGTCAATAACAAAACAAAAGAGAAATTGTAAAATGTAAATAATACAAGGGCAATAAAAAGAAATATCATAATAATTTCAATCTCGACATATCAGTGATTGTGGTTGAATTTCCAAGAATTTAATATATATAATTTATAAACTTAAATAAAATTAATATATTTTGCTGTGAAATACTGGTGCACAATAATCATATCTTATCTTATACCTTTAAACGAGCAATTCTTGTATATATATATATATATATAATCTGAATCTCGGAGACGGCTCCAAAGATTCTTATAAAATTTAGTATACAGGGGATTTCGGGGCGATAAATCGATCTAGCTACGATTTATTTTCAGAAAATGTTGTTTTATTTGTGTTTTCAGTAATCAACTCTTCCCGACATCTATTGGCGAATAACATTACTATTTTTCTTAATTGAGACCAACTAACCGCTTTAAAGACAAAACAAGATGGCGTTATAAAAAAAAAATCCGAGTAAAGCTCGGTCATCATCTAGTTATTATTAATGTTGGTTAACCTTTGTCAACCTTTAATCTAACTGTAGTAAAGTGACCCGTAAAGAAGAAGAAAGCAAAAACAAAAATTTAAAATGCATCTCTCTTTTTTTCGTTTTCAGAAACACGGCCTCAGAACAACCTGCCTCTGTGACGTATGCGGGAAAGTCTTCAAGAACACGGAGAGGCTGAAGAACCATAAAACGACCCATTCGAAATTGAAACCTTACACTTGTGGGTATGTGTGAAATAACTTCAAGTAGTTCACAGTTTGCCCTTTCCCAATAGCAGTGGCATACTTAAATTCTTATGCAAATGCCTATCGAGATTGTTTGTTTTTCTAGTTTACCGAAAATCTATATATATATATATCCTAATTACGAAGATCAAAACAGGTGGATACAAAAAAAAAACAGTGTTATTTAATTAAATTTCCGGCTTTGGAATGAAATCCCCTCCACGGTGTTTTCCGAGCGCTATGACATGACCTTCTTCAAACGAAGCTTGCGGAGAGTACTTAATGGTAGGCAGCGGCTTGGCTCTGCCCCTGGAATTGCTGACGTCCATGAGCGATGGTGACCACTTACCATCAGGTGGGCCGTATGCTCGTTTGCCTACAAAGGCAATAAAAAAAAATTAAAAAATTTGACAACTATTATGTCAAATTGTCACCGTTGTCACTGTGTAACTGTCATGTTAGGTTAGCATGACGCTGATATGGTTCCCATCCATGAATCATCAGCTTAGGAAAAAAAAAGGTCGAATGGCGTATAGTAAGCCCGCACGCCTAAGTACCTACCATCATCCGGTCTGTTTATGACGCGAAGCAATCTTGCGTTTGAGGGTTGGGACAGCCGCTACATGATGCAATTGAGATATAGACGCTATCATGTCCCAGAATCGACTTCTGTCTGTAGGCTCAGAGGCTATGGAATGAGCTCCCCTCCACGGTGTTTCCCGAGCGCTATGACATGTCCTTCTTCAAACGAGGCTTGTGGAGAGTATTAAACGGTAGGCAGCGGCTTGGCTCTGCCCCTGGCATTGCTGAAGTCCATGGGCGACGGTAACCACTCACCATCAGGTGGGCCGTATGCTCGTCTGCCTACAAGGGCAAAAGGCTCCAATCTCTTCGTGATTAAGATCTCTAGCGTCTTTTTTTTATTGCCCTTGTAGGCAGACGAGCATACGGCCCACCTGATGGTGAGTGGTTCAGAGGACTTCAGCAATGCCAGGGGCAGAGCCAAGCCTCTGCCTACCGCCACCGTCTATTTTGATATTCGCGTTTTAGCGAATCGTGCGGCTGCGTCTACCAGCGCGAACCCTCAACATCCGTGGAAAAAGTGTTACCGTCTGATGGCGTAGATGGTGGGACCACATAAGTGCGAAATTCTTTGGTTTGCCGGTAGATGTCACTAAAGACGCCTGGTGCGTTTGGTTACCTACCAGCATAGCCGTATTCTTTTCAGTGTCTGCAACAAAACGTTTGCTAAGAAGTTTCACTTGAAAGTACACGAGAACACGCACACAGGCGAACGGAAGCATTCGTGTGGAGTTTGCGGACAGTCCTTCGTACAGAGAAGCTCTTTACTACGCCATAATAAACGGTAAGAGATAATATGGTTCTTAGTCTTTTAATTTATTTTGAAACAGAAAAATGTTGTTTTCGCAGATGGATAAGACGCGCCGTGTATTCTTCTCACAATGCACTCTTATTAGAATACTATAAACAATTAATAATGAAATACGTTCATAACAATTAATGTTCACGATTAACTTCCACGGTGAAGGACTAACATCCTGTAATAAAAATCAAACCCGCAAAATTTTAATTTTGGTGGTAGGACGTCTTGTAAGTCTGCACGGGCATGTACCACCACCCTGCCTATTTTTGCCGTGAAGCAGAAATGCGTTTCGGTTTAAGGGTGGGGCAGCCGTTGTGACTATATTGAAAGTTTAGAGCTCATATCTCAAGGTGGGTGGCGGCATTTACGTTGTAGATGTCTATGGGCTTCAGTAACCATTTAACACCAGGTGGGCGGTGAGCTCGTCCACCCATCTATGCAATAATGAAAAAACATACCAATAGGTATGTTTTTTTGCAATATGCAATAACAATACGCAATAGCGTTAGTTATAAAATATATAATAGTTGGTTGTCGTTGTATTTCATATATTGGCATGTATCGACACAATTATGACTAGACTTGGGCCGTTTTCCGCACAGCACAAGAGCGCATTATGCGGCATAATGCTCAACTAAGCTTCAGCATAATTCGGCATTGTGCGTCACTGAGTCGCATTATGCTCTGTAATTGGAAAACGGGCTTGAACTGCTGGGCACGAGTCCTTCAAATGCTCGCCACAATAACCGGATTCTGGGTTGTCTGTATCTAGCGAGTTCCTGAGACCTATAATAAAACATGGTCCTGCCTTAATGAATTATGTGTGTGAAACTAATACGCCAGGCCAGTTGGAGCCGTAGCAGGCCAGCAAGAAATTGATGAGGAGAGCCGAAAGCCGAGCTCAAGGGCGTGAATTGGGAGAGGCTTATGTCCAGCTCTGGACAACACTGTACGCTGATGAGAATGAGTTTCCTCACGCAGTGCCAGAATTAAATCTAGGTGGCATCGTATCTTCCCATGATCAATGCGAAAGATAATATGACTTTATATGTTGTACATATTTCTGACAGTAAATATTGTTAAATGTACTTAATTGTTGTTTTACAGGCGCCACCAGGATCTTAAGAGTGCAAATGAAAAGTTGGAACGTAATATGTGAAGGATTTTTACTTTTGCTATTAAATTGGTTGAAAACTAGTGATTTTCGTTTTATTACCTATATTATTGTACGAAAATGTTATTTCTGTAACTATACGGAGACCTTAGAACTTAACATCAGGTGGGCTGTGAGCTCGTCCACCGATCTAAGCAATAAAAAAAAAAGTTCCTCCCTTTTGTATTGTCTTTGATATTATCCCACAACTAATGTCAATTAATGGCTCAACCTGAGAGAGTTTGCCAACACTGGTACTCGAAATCGCGACTCACTAAGAAGGACCGGCGTGAAACTCAGTGGCTAATGTCTATGAGCTAGTTCGTATGTCGAACTCGTCGTAAATTAACTTTGTTCAATTTTGGGATTTAAAATTGCAATTTTAGGCCTAAGGTTTCGCTCGTATGATAGTCAGAATCTGAAATAACCTTAGAGTATACATAAGCAAGCTAGTTTAGGTATACTCTAAGGAAATAACCCTATTTTTAACCGACTTCCAAGGTTATATAATATTCATTCATGGCTTTCTTTTTGGTAGAACAGGTATGTTGTAGAGTTTTTAGCGCTAATTTCATCGATCTATTACCACTGGCTAATATGCTTTTCCCGTGGGGTGACGGATATGGAAGATATACACAAATTTATATGATTAAACTAGATTTTAGACGACATTCATTGATTTTTCTGATGCCAGGGAGACCATTTGAATAATATAATAAGCTTCTAAGGGAATATTATAGCTACTTCAGACAAGAACTATGGGACTATTTTCCTTACTGTTTTTTTGTTATTGCCCTTGTAGGCAGACGAGCGTACGGCCCACCTGATGGTGAGTGGTTACCGTTGCCCATTGACTTCAGCAATGCCAGGGGCAGAACCAAGCCGCTGTCTACCGGAAATTTCATCCCAGTTGATTAATGTCTCAAATTTATCATCTTCGTTTTAAATTCTCCATATTTTTTATTTATTTATTTTTTTTCTTTTGGCAATAGCGTTTACTTTTTGCCAATGACATATTATCATTTTTCATAAAGATAAGAATATAAATTAAAATAAAACTTGACTTAAAGGTCTTAGTTACCAGGTCATAAAATCCCTGTAAAAAAAAGAATCGGTGGTTTTACGAGTTTTTTTTAATAGTCTAATGGCTATGCAAAGGGAACAGATCATATAACAAAATCTTTGTTACAAAAACCGTTTTTGTCTATTTAGAAGGTTATATAAAACAAGCAGCCCGCTCCGGCTCCGCTCGGGTCTTTACCAAAAATTTCAATGATATTTGACGTTGTTTTATTTAAAAAAATAAAAGAACACTCATTGCGGCATAACTATAATAGTTAGACATATTATGCTGTCGCAACACTTTTTATAAGTATTAATGTGTTCTACAAAGTCGTAGTATATTATTGTATTCTATCATTAGGAATTTTCGCAGGGCACGCGATGTAAAGGATATTTTAGGTAATTTATTTTACACCTTTGGTTATCCTATTGGAGTTTTAGTAAGGATCCCTAATTTTTTTCAAAAAAGATTATAGCTTATGTCACTCGGGAATAGTGTAGCTTCCAAACAGTGAAAGAATTTTTCAAATCGCTTCAGTACTTTCGGAGCCTATTCGATACAAACAAACACACAAATCTTTCCTCTTTATAATTATAATATTATAGTATAGACGAATCCGAATTGCATGAATTGAGATATCAAGACAATTCCGTAGGTGGTTAGTAAAATTAAATAATAACTAAGTAAAATGATGGATTTAAGGATTTAAGGATGGAATTAGGGATTCACTGGACTTATGTGAAGTCGCCTTCAATAACATGGATCATTTTTTCATACTTTTGCTTTCTTTTTTTTTTTACTTAAGCTGATAGCCTTGAGAGGCTATTTCAGCGGAACCTTAACTAGTAGTGAGCTCACGGGGCTCAAACCTGAGGACGTTGCTAACACGAACCCTATCAAGAGCCGTGCTTCGCAGAATCTATCATCGGATCGGAAACGCGACCCACTGAGAAGATCCGGCGAGAAACTCAGTGGGCTGTGTCTGAGGGTTAATTCACTCGTCGCGCCCTTCGTCGCAAGCGACGGGTTCGACGAGAACGGTGACCGGTGCTTGAGGTACCTAAAAGCACCGTTAGTGGATCGGGAGGATCCGAGATGACGTGTTTGGGGCGACGTCGACTGCTTTTCATTTTTTCCGCAGGATCGGGAATGTAGTTACCGCCGGCCACAATGAGAGGTTTCTCGTGTCGTGTCGCTTTATCGAAGTGGCGCATCGACGCCGACTGTAAATTCTTACTGATGGACTCTAAGTCCAGGTCGTCATGGAGGTCGACGTTCCTGACGAACCACGAAGCTCCGACGGCTATCCTGCAAAAACGGGATTGTATGACTTGAAATGATTTTAGGTGAGTGCGGGCCGCGTGAGCGAACACTGCACTTGCATAGGTCATGACGGGGCGTATGTATGCAAGTTTTGTAGAGTGTCACCTTATTTCTATGGGACATTTTACTTCGCCTGCATATCATCGGGTAGGACTTTTGCATCTTCATAGAAACTAAGTGATTAATATACCCCTATATGTACCTACTTAATTCAAAACAGCAATAACAAATAACAAAAGAATATCATTTACACAGTTTATCAACTTGACTTCCCGCCAAAAAATCTCATCGTGTATGTTTTTCTGTCAATAGCGTCAAATTTAACAGAAACCACTCACCATTGGCCACCATATTATTATATCATTAGAGCATTAGAGTAGGTACTTATGTACCTAATAAACAAAGTAAACGAAAAGAAAACAGATCCCACATAATGTTATTTTGATTGATTTATAAAAAATGTAACAGAATCAAATATTATGTATATATTAATATAATTTAAGCGTAAATAATACATATTCTTTTTACATATTTATTGTTTAGTTAAATTAAAAAAAATGAGTGAAAATCAAACGGATAATTGCTGTGGGTGTTTGTGCAGTTCAGATGAAAGATCTATAACAAAACTGTCTATTGAAAACGGATTTCTGCATAACGTATTACAGGTATTTTAGTTGTTTTCTACACATGTACAGAATTTCTGTATATGCTTCTGATTCTATAAGTATTTAGAAACTATTATGAATAAAATACCTACAGACATTATGATTTAAGACACCAGCAAAAGGAAAGTAAAATCATTTTTAATAAATAAAAAGAGATATTTGTACAGGAATTTATATTTAAAAGCACACTGTACAATTCAATTAAAACAACAACATAGTCACTGGGCCCTGTTGCACCTTCTTGTATTTGTCTCATATGGATTCAAACAGGATCTTGTTGAATACATAATGTATTTGTTTTACTAATAGGTAACTAAGATATTTAAAGAAAAACATTATGAAAACTTTTCAGGTTGATTCCATATTATTATGCTATCTATGCAAGATACAAGCAAAAAAAGCAGATCTATTTGTGCAAAATATACAAAGCAATCAAATTTTACTCGAGAACTACCACAGTGTAAGTAATTGTATAAAATTCGCCAGATCGGATTGGATCAACATCGGCCAATGGTCTCTAGCTATTTTTAAATTGTGTATTTACTGAAATATGATGTACGATTTTTTCCTTAATAGATTAATAATTTATCTGAAGACTTAAGGAAGTATGTAAGACCTATAGTTAATTTAAGCTACGTAACACTAAATGCTATTGAATTAAACGAGGACAGTGGCTCTGCAGAAGAAACTTTTGTTATACTAAACAGTAGAAATGGTGACACTAAAATCAAAATGGAAATGAAGGAGGAAGAAACAGACACTTGTGATGAGGATTTTATTCCACCTGATGAAGGTAATATTGCAATTGCAATTGCACAAATAAAATTTAACATAGTTTTTGCCGTATGAAAGTCAGAGACGCTTACCAAAGACATGCTGTATAATATCTAACTAAGTATCTGGCCGGTTTGGTTTCAGAATGCCAAGATCGAGATTGCAAAGAGGAAACATTTCCACTCAACGAACTCCTGAAAGCGGAATTAGAAGTTGAAGAGATTGATCTTTTGAGCTTAAAGAAATCTCTAGTAGCTAACAAATTGAAAAAAAGAAAAAAAGTAAATAAAAGTCACACTAGTAGGTATTTTCAAGTTTATTCAGTAAGTGTGTATTATATAGTATAAATAAATTTTTTAGTTGTATTTTTCAGTGGGAAACTTTTTCAATAAATAATTAAAATTTATTTTAGAAGATATGTTTATCATATAAAATATTCGATTAGCTTGGGACATAAAAATTCTTTTCTCTTCCAAAATAACAAAAAGGTCCCATAAATTAATGCGGTAGAATTGCCTTGAGCAGGGAGAGACGGCAGAACATCGTGACATAAAATCTGTCCCCTCCAAACGATCACAATCACTCTGTCAAGAGTGACACAATTGAAAAAAAGAATGATATATTTATAAACAAAATGTTGGTTTCAGAGGCACAATTGATCCAAAAAATATATTTAACCAAGAAGCAGTGTGTAGCAGAAAGGGAAAGAATGGCACAGGATGTAAAATATCTGGACAGTCCATACAAATGTGTTGATTGTTTTAAGGGATTTGACTATAAGCCAAGTTTCTACAAACATATGGAAAGACATAATGAGGTTTGTTTTGTCTGTTTGCTATTCAGTCAGCAATGCTTTCAAGGCTTGTGGAGAGTACTTAACGATAGATAGCAGCTTGACACTACCCTTGGCATTGCTCGCTTCTAGGGGCGACGGTAACCACTCACCACCAGGTGGGCCGTATGCTTGTCTGATTACAAGGACAAAAAAGAACAAGCTATATACTTGGGAAAAAATAGAATGTTAATAATTATGAATTAATATCACAAATTATAGAGTGGTCGTGCTCTGATCCGCATTTGTGAACTTTTCGGCCATATGGCAATCTCTTCTACAGTGTTCCTGCTCACTGCTACTTCAATCTTGTAATCTTTTGCTTCATGTCATTTATCTAGGTTTTTCACCTGTGCAACAGAAAGCATGATATGGATAGATCTCCTATAAAGTGGACCGACAACCTGATAATGGTTGTGGTAATCTGCAGCATCCAGGTGGAGAAGGGCTGGTCATTATGGTGAAACTTTGAGATTGCCTATGTAGTGGGTATTTGGGCTGATGATGATGATGTACTCTGATATCTGTGATGATGTTTACCTTATGGTCTCGTATTTAATTAATATGTCGACATTCCTGTTTTATTTTTGATCGCTAACAGAATTTAAATCAGAAAAGGAAGGGGTTCTGTATTTGTGACACATAGTGTTTTACAATTTTTAGGATTGAATGAAACTTTATCATTCAGAAATATAAATAAATAACGTTTTTCAGGATATAGGGAATTATGTGTGTGACGTGTGCAAACAGCGCACGAACTCAGAGAAAAAACTGGCTAATCATAAGAAATATCATACTGTGTGAGTATCTTTTGTATGATTTAGTTCTATTCCAATCTTAATTGTTGTATTCTGTGAAGATTTTCAAGATGATTAATAGAGCTAATACCTCATTGGTGATAGATATTTACCAAAGGTCATATCCACAACATACCACCACAATATACTGTCTTTTCGCATTAAACGTGTATGATTTCCAAAAATATTCGAAATTGAGTTAATAAGCGGAATCATTCGGTATCACCAGTATTTTTCTCATAAATACTGTTAAAAGAGCATAGTTTAGTTTTAGTTTATCTATATTTTGACTACTATTAACAAAATTTATACATCATTTTATCTTAATTTAAAAGACAGATAATATAACTGTTAAAAACTAAAAAATTAATGTTGCGAAGATGATTAGTACTAAAAATATCATGTTATGTTAAACCTTTAAAACACTCTCCTGTAAAATTTGGTAAGTTTTGAGATTATACGGCCGTCTGGTGTAGTGGTAAGTGACATGGTCACTACAAAACGGGGTCGCGGGTTCGAATCCCGCCAAGGGAAGATATTTGTATGGTAAATATAAATGTCTTTTCCAGGGTCATGGATGTATATTAAATATATGTATGTGTATAATAAAAAATCTTACATTTATTTCCGTTATCTGGTACCTGTAACACAAGCTCTTTACGAACTTATCACGGGACCAGTTAACGTGGCGTGATTGTTAGTAAATATTTATTTATATTATTTATTATACAGTTTTAATGCGAGAAGACGATACCACAACCTGTGTATATAATTATCAATATTAAATTATGTTTAAGTTGCCCTGGTTTGCACCACTTTACTGTTTATTTGTTGATAAGGCACTAGACCTGCCCGTTTGAACATTAAGAGAGCTGCTGTATCTGCAATCAAATCTTATATTTCAAGAACCCTTTCTCATGTTTGGTCTCGAGATCTCATGATTGCTCTCTTGCTTCGTTGATAATGTTAATTATTTATTGTTTTATTTAAAAATTTCAGTCGCTACAAATGTACTGAATGCGATTTGACCCGGGTCAGTTATGCGGCTGTAAAATATCACTACAACGTGTTCCATTCTCTTGGATACTACCAATATAACTGTACCCACTGTTCGAAGATTTTCAAGTGAGTTTTGGATTTGCTTGCCGATGGTCCGGTGTATTTGTGAGTGTATACAGCTGTCACGCCTTTTAATTTGACTTGACCTTGACCTTGTTTTTCAAGGTTCGAAGACCGCTTCATATAGCACAATATAAATTATTTATTTGTTCAAAACTTATCCATATAAGTTAAAACATTCAGATCCTTAACCCTTTGATTGCCGTGTAGATCACTTGAGAGACATCGTAACAGAAACAGAGAATTATCATTTCAATAAAAACAGATTTTGTGTCCATTACGCTTACATTTTTTGAACTACGTAATGAATTAAGGAATTATTAATTTTATTATAATCTACAAGTATCATAACTATCTCCTATTGCATGGTAATGAATAGTATCATTTTAACACGAAAGTTGTACTCTTAAAATATTCTTAGAATTATTAGAAATGACTGAAACTTCTATATGCTTGTTAATATTCAATATCATTAACAATAACTGAATTTATTAAAACCGCGCTAATCGTAATTTAACGACTAATTGGCCGTCTTCACTGACATTTTTTTCTTGAAGTATTGTTGAGGTTTGTTTAAGTTTTCAATATTTTTTTAATCTACATAAGAAATAATTAGACAGTATTAACACACTTGTTATCAAAACGCTAGTAAATACGGCCATTGCCAGCTGACTGACAAAACTGGCGCATGCGCAATGTAGGTAGGCGTGAGGTGATGGTTTGCTAGATATAAAATAAATAATAGGTAATTTAATTGTTTTTATGATCGAACAATCACCAATAGTCGTCGAACAAACGATAATTGATCAAAATTAATTAATCTGAGCGATAAAAAAAAATATAGTAAGGAGGGCCAACTTAAGGGCGATCATTTGTTTAATTAATGATAAATAAATAAAAGACGAACAAACAATTTTTACATTCGAACATTAACGAACAAACGACGAACAAATAAATAAAAATAAAGAAAATCCGAAAATAAAAAAAAGGGGGGCCAAATTCAGTGAGCCATTGCAATTGCTTATACACTCCCAGATGAACACACATATAAATATAAGAGCATCAGTGCTCCCCTGAGATTGTTTTGGCAATATTAATAATACCTTTGTACTATACACTGACTATAATATATACTATATTCTTATAGACTATTAATATATAATAATAATGTAATCATAATTTATTTATTTCTCTCATAAAGGTATAGTACAAATACAAATGGAAATTAACCTTATAATTTATTTTGTAAGCCTTTGAAAGAGCTGAAGTCTGTAGTACTAGGTTCAAAGACCTGTATTACTGATCTCCAGGCTCCCTCCTTCTTAAGATAGATTAGGTTAGGTTAAATTACATTAACAGAAATAAATGATAGTTATACCTGTTTTCTTTTGTAGTATTGTTTGCTTCTTACTGTCGTTTGAAGGGTGGTACAGTCATCTAATATTCTGACGGGTATCAGCAGGACACAAAAAAGATGAAATTAATTATTAGTTCAGCTTGCCACATAAGGATGAAGCATATATAATTTCTCAAATATATTAAATTTTTCTTTTAATTCCAGGAGTGAAATAACCTTAAGGAAACACATATGGTATGCCCACAAGACCCGGGAACGTGTTATATGTGATCATTGTCATCAGAGCTACGTCAACAAAGAGGTCTTGAAGGCGCATATGATGAGGTTAGTTTGATTCTGATATTAAGGTTTTTTGGCGGGAACGCGAGGAGTGAAGTTGTGTGATTTGTTTTATTTTGTCTATTTAGTGTTTCTTCAGGTTTAAATGTGTAATAACGGTGGTTTATTAACTGTTTAATATCTGTGAAAGTGCACAAATGTGGGAAAATGAAACAAAGCCGCTGGACGCAACTTCTCGGGATCCTCCAAAAAGTCCACCGAAAAAAACTTAGTAAATGACCACCATTTTACTAAGATTATATTTCATCCCATATCATCTCATTTCATTTAATTTCATCCCAGTTGATTAATGTCTCAAATTAATAATTTTCATTTCATTTCACTCCATCTTATCATTTTTCATAAAAATAAGAATTAAATTAAAATAAGACATGACTTAAAGGTCTTAGTTACCAGGTCATAAAATCACTTAAAAAGTATTAAGGTCACGGTCACCATCACGGTAAAGATCACAATTACATAGTTAGTTCACGATTGACCGCTGGGATATGAAACATATTGTATTTTTGGATGTACTATATGAAACAAAATGGAAAATTCAAATATATAATCTGTCAGACCCCAAGCTACCGTTAGATTGTTCTATGTGAAACTTGAACGGCCGTCTGGTGTAGTGGTAAGTGACATGGTCACTACACAAGGGGGTCGCGGGTTCGAATCCCGCCAAGGGAAGATATTTGTATGATAAATATAAATGTCTTTTCCAGGGTTATGGATGTATATTAAATATATGTATGTGTATAATAAAAATCTTACATTTATATCCGTTATCTGGTACCTGTAACACAAGTTCTTTACGAANCCAAGGGAAGATATTTGTATGATAAATATAAATGTCTTTTCCAGGGTTATGGATGTATATTAAATATATGTATGTGTATAATAAAAATCTTACATTTATATCCGTTATCTGGTACCTGTAACACAAGTTCTTTACGAACTTATCACGGGGCCGGTTAACGTGGCGTGATTGTTAGTAAATATTTATTTATTTATTATTACAAGCTTTGAAGTATTTTTAATAGTAATTTAAAGAATAATAATAAAAATTAATATGTAAATATACTAGTAATATAAATATAACACCTCTGTAGTCTGCGACCACTTAAACTGTATAGTAATCGAAATGTCAGCAGCAAGATATTGCAAATAAGAACGCGAGATTGAACCTTAAACAACGAGTATGTAAAGATTAATTGAACAATGGCTTCCCTCCCTTGAAACTGGAACGCATGTAGGCAGCGGCTTGGCTCTGCTCCTGGCATTGCTGAAGTCCATGGCCGACGGTAACCACTCACCATCAGGTGGGCCGTATGCTCATCTGCCTACAAGGGCAATAAAAAAAATTGTGGGGGGAGGAACAACATGTGCGGGTTTTACTCCCTGCTACAGTGCCTGTACATAATTTTTTTAAGGGATTTTATGACCTGGTAACTAAAACCTTTAGGTCAAGTCTTATTTTAATTTATATTCTTATTTTTATGAAAAATTATAATATGAAGTGAAATGAAATGTGGTCATTTACTGAGATTTTTTCAGTGGTCTATTTGGAGGATCCCGAGAAGCTACGTCTAGCGGCTTTGTTTAATTTTCCCACATTTGTGTACTTTCACAGATATAAAATAATAATAAACCACCGTTGTTATTACACATTTATATCTGAGGAAACACTAAATAGACCAAATAAAAGAAATCACACAACTTCATTCCTCGCGTTCCCGCCAAAAAATCTAATGCCTGTACATGGTGTTATATTACCACATGATATTTTCATTCTTAATGTCAGACAGGCCGACAGACATACGGCCCTCCCGACGATTAAGTTGACATGAAAGCATTTTTTTTTACTAGGAATTGATATTGCTAATGTCACAGTACACACAAAAATGACAGGTGCTTAGGGAGAAAAAAACAACTAAATACTAAAAAGCTTGATCAGTTTTAAGAACAGCACAAACAGAGATGTTAGATTTTTTTTATTGCCTTTCTAGGCAGACGAGCATAGGGCCCACCTGATGGTGAGTGGTTACCGTCGCCCGTGGACTTCAGCAATGCTATGCGCAGAGCCAAGCTGCTGCCTACTGCTTAATACTCTCAAACCGGAGTGTTGCTAACATTGGCCCTAGCAAGAGCAGTGCTTCGCAGAATCTACCACCGGATCGGAAACGCGACCCACTGAGAAGATCCGGCGAGAAACTCAGTGGGTTGTGTCTATGGGTTAATTTACTGATGACCGATGCTTATGGTACCTAAAAGCACAATTAATGTTAAAATCTACAGGATCGGGTAGTTTCCAGTGGCCACGACAAGAGGGTTCTCATGTCGAAGATCTCTGAAAACTAGATTAACTAAATTTATCATAGACTAGCTGACTCGGCAGACTTCGTAGTGCCTCAATCGATAAATAAAAGACCTAAACTTTTGTATAAAATAAACTTAAAACAAACAAAAGGAATCTCTCCGACGGGAGACACATCAAAGGGAAAACAAAATTGTTATTTTTATTTAATTCCGAGCATTTTCATATTTATCTAACTTTTAAACCTTCTCTGAACTTCCACAAATAATTCAAGAACAAAATTATCCAAATGGGTCCAGCCGTTCTCTTGTTTTAGCGAGACTAACGAACAAGGGGGGTTGATTGCTTCCCGCTTCCGTAGGTTTAACCCGCGATTCCCTACAAGTGACCCCTGGGTGGTGCAAAACGGGAGCCGAATACATAATCGGTGGTAGAACTTGTCCGACTGGCTGGCGACCACCCTCCAACTAGAGTCCGCCGCCAAATAGCCTAGCTGTGTTCCGGCGTGTGGGTTGGAGAGCCAGTGTTATTCCTTCCCTTTCCTCTTCCTTGTTGGGGGTGAGTCTTGGCGATACCTGGAACATGCGGAGCAGACGTGCGTGTGAGCTCGCGGGACGTGATTGTTTGACGGGGGTATAGGGAGACCCAGTGAAACGGTGTTCGCCGCCGCCCGCCGGTCAGTTGGGGACCTGAACCCGGGTGTCACTACTAAACTCCGCCCCGGGAAGCTGTCCCGCCAACCGGTGTAAAATCCTGTCGTGCGGTCGTCGTGCCGGAGTCGGAGACCGGAGTGGATCCCGGCGATCGCACGCAGGGTGGACTGGGGGCCCTTCCATGCCCTGCGTCAGTC